GATTCACCTGTTTTCATCCACCTGTTGGTCACTGGATAAGCACAAGACAACTCTGTTCTGCAGGGCTTACGATGGACAGAAACAAATCAGGTTGCAGACAGGCAGAGATGCCCACTGTGATTTGCAATGCTCATGGAGGAATTCATAGAAGATCACAGAGCAGGAGCAGTCATAACTAATGCCAAATGAAGGTCAAATGAGTCAAATGAAGTACAGAAAACTTCCTCTGTAGGCAAAATAGGCTGAAGGTGTTCGTGAGGCTTTACTGACACATGACCTTCATAAGGCCCTTAAAAGCAAAACGTGCAAAATTAATGTAAATGTTTTAACACAGTTCTAGTATTCTTTACAGTTTTGCTATACAGGTGCCAACTACCATTGCTCTCGCATGGTTTCCTTAAATACTATTGCAAGTTCTGAAGTAAAGGTCAAGACTCAATGGCCCCGAGAGGGCTGTTTGTAGACCTTACACTGAATCTGACCACACACGAATGAAATTTTGGGAGTCAGGTTCTTCTATCTGGAGTCAAACCATAAACATAGTAATGTCACATTTCTTACTCAAAGAATCTTTCTTGTCTAAATTACTGTCTCAGCCCTTATACAAATAAAAGAAAAATTACAAGCATGCACTTGTGAAGTATTTATTATAGAGACAAACAGTTCAGATTCGCTGGTTACACTGCATGCTCTGTTTATGTTCTTTTTTTCCCTTCGGGTCCCTGAAAGTAGATGAGAACTTCTAGCTCCAATTTAATTTGACTTCCTGTTTTATAAAGCTGACAAGCAGACACTCAGTCTCTCGCAGCTGCAGCATAAATTATAGTCATCATATTTACAGACCTATGATTTTTTGTAGACTTAGCAAATGCTTTAAGACTGCGTCATTTGCTTCTGCTCGCTGGAAGAGAGAAGAATGCTCTTTCTGAATCAGCTGCTTAAATATATTTAAGCTAACCTCTGCAGTGTGGCTGCAGTCATCCTCTGCTCACAAGTTCAGGCTTCAGGAACTCTTTTTACTTCCCCTTCACTTCCTGGCAAGCAAACATACATAAAGGGGGAAATATTGCTGGATTGTAAAGTATTTAAGGTGAAAGTAAATAAAATAAAAATTTGTACCAGGCCAAAACTATACAGCCCAGTATCTTGGCTTGGACAGTGACCAGAAAGTACTGGTTTCTCAGGGAAGGATGAAACCTTTATACTGAAATGCATTTTGATTCTTCCAAATGTTTTCTCCCGTGAGTTCATTTCTGAATTCATATATATTTCCCATGGCATTTTGAAGAAAACAGCTGCAAAGCACAGTGATGTTGCCTGCAACTCTCCAAGTTAGTTTGTTGTCATAATGCTGGTATGGAGAAGACTGCTATTTGCCTTTTGTGGTCCCACAATCTGGCAGCTCACTGCCGTATTTCTCCCTGCCTGCCCCAGTCATTTGCTTTTCAAAGCATTTTTCACCCAGTGGCATCTTCCCATCCAGCCTTCTCTTCCTTGAATTCCAATTATTCCCCAAATTACTTCAGCTGCCACCTCTCCCTCTCCAGTCCTTCACCCTTACCCTCTGAACACTGCTTTGTTATCACACATCTGCTGTTCTTGAAGAATTAAATCACATTAATTGCCTCCACAAATTCACTCTCTTCATTTCCAGCACTTCAATCTTATCTGCTGCTTTTCTTGCTCTCACTGTAGCCCTGCCAGGTCTGTATCCCCATCCGTGCCTCATGCAAAGCTGCAGGAGCAGCCTCAGTATGCACTCCTGTATGCCCTGACTGCAGGGATTTCCACATTTAATATATCCCAAAGTCCCCCTTAGCGCATTCCAGAAGAGTAACAAGGGATTAAAAAACCAAGAGCAATTCAGGGCTGCAGGGAGAACCTCTCAGCTGCTTCGGGCAGATGAGTGGTGCTGCAAGGCAGCAACAAAAGCTGCTGGGGGTGGGAGCCCTCTAAACCTTCCCCCTGGCAAGATCCATGCAGGTTTTGCTGGAGTGGTGTGCGATGCAGAGCAGCTGCCTGCCGATGTGACAATTCAGGATAGGTCAGTTGTTGGGAACCCTCCAGGGTAGTTCTGTAGGTGCTGAGCCCTAGGAAGCACAGCAGCTCTGTGACCCTGCTGGTGCAGGTGATGGGAGGTTGGGTAGGAGTGGAAGATAGCGTTCTATAAACTTCATACATGGAGGCTGATATCTGGCACGTGACTTCTTGGGTTGTAGAAGAGTGGGAGGTAGAAAGCAACATCTTCTGCTGTGCAAATCTCAAAGCAATTACAGTGCAATTTATTGTGTTGATCAAGAAGAAAATCTAGGCAGTTACTCTTTGTGACCTCATCTATAGTGAAGCTTTGAAGGACACTCAAATGTGTGAAAATGAGGGAAAACTTTTTAGGCTGCAAGTGAGAATGCAATCCCAAAGCGCTATACAGGCAGGCCTAAGAACCAGCCCTGAAGCACAGAGGAGAGGGAGGAGCAACTGGATGTGAGAAGTGAAAGGGAAGAAAGAAGCCAAAATCACTCTTGCATCCTATTTCATCTCTGCCACTGATACGGTCCATGGTGCCTGTGGTTAGGGCCTGATGAAGTTGGACTGCAGAATCCCTGCAAGTCATCTCTCATCTTCAGCATTAATAAGGTTCTCCAGGCAGGGAAATAATCTTGCTGTGAGGAACAGAACATTGTAAAATCAAACATGAGTTTAAAAGTGTTGTGTAGACAGAAATCTCAGAGAGACTCAGCTATGCAAGAGGAAGAGGGCACTCCTGGAGGGATGGTGAGAAGCCCAAGACCGTTGCTGTTGTCTGCAGATTTTGCTGAGCATAAAATCAGTGCTGCCTCCAGAGAAGGTAAAGAAAACTGAATGGGGTAAAACAGAGAATTTTAGAATCACAGAATGCTTTGGGTTGAGGGGACCACAAGGATATCAAGTTCCATCCCCCCTGCCGCAGGGGAGGCCACCAACCTCCAGATGTGGTACCAGACCAGGGCCCCATCCAACCTGGCCTTGAACACTTTCAGGGACAGAGCATTCACAGTCTCTCTGGGCAGCCTGTTCCAGCACCTCAACACTCTACCTGTGAAGAACTTCCCATTGACATCCAACCTAAACCTTCCCTTCTTGAGCTTAATACCATTTCCCCTTGTCCTATCACTGCCTACCCTTGTAAAAAGTTTATTCCCCTCCTGTTATAATCCCCTTTAAATGCTGAAAGGAATTTATTTGTGATGGGAGAAAATAACCATTGAATGTGATGCACATGATACAAGAAGAAGTTGAGTTGACAGACATGGCCTGATGGTGTGGCAGCGCCCACTTAATTTCCTGAAGATAATTGCAATGACATGGCTTACAGCAGTTGCATCTCGCAGTTGTTCTGTGTGACTTCGGGACTGACTATGAATGTACTCCAAACCAACTTGCTCAGCACAGCATAGGATTTGTGAAGACTTGAAATGGAAACAAAAACACTATAGTAAAAAGGTATTTTACTGAGATACAATAAATTTCTTAAGCAGTTTACATTTTTTATCACCTCCATAAGATGCATTCTAAACTGCTGAAGGCTTTTTAATAGCATAAACAAAATCTCTGGAAGAAGTAAATCTTTAAATTTGAGAAGACATCAGCAGATATGTAGTGCTGGGTGCCTGTAAACCATTGCATTAAAATGATATAAGCAAAACAGACATTCTAGAAAAAAAGCCTTTAAAAAATGAGAATATATTTTCATATTGATCAAATATTTACTTTTTAATAATATGTTATCTACATATACTAAAGAAACTAAATTTTTAACTTTGATAAAACTATAAAAGAAATACTTTTTTGAAAACTACCAGAAATTTGATGGTTCAAATGTGTTCTTGATCTGGCACTCGTCAATGAACTTATCTGACCTCTGCACAAAAGCAGTATGTCACAGCAGGTGACATTGGTAAGTTTTATAACCTACACAAAATGAATCTGCTCAAACAACAGATCGAAGATACAGGCAACTTCTCTCCAAAAAGTGCCATCACCTTTAGGTGTCAGCAGAGGTCTGGGGACAGAGCAGCACTGTGGGGAGAAGCAAGGGCAGGGAAGGCCAGCTGCAGTGTTGGCACCCGGTAGGGAGAAGGAAAGATGGAAGAGCAGAGCCCAGGGGCAGATCTGAACTTTGCTTAGGGGACATCTGCTGTGTTTTATTACATCTGCAAACATTCAGAGTGTTTGCCAGCAAAGTACAGCAGATAATCATAACAAATGCTATGTAACTTGCTGCTGGCTCAGTGTATGTGCCTGGAGCATAGATTTATATTATAGATAAATATTATTTGCTAATCTTTATTTTGCCTTTTTCTTTCTCCTTTCAGTATGCCAGATGGCTTGTGTTGGCAAGTTTGCAGGCTGGCTCATCAGATAGATATTAACAAACTTGAATTCCTCAGGTCCGCAGGTGAGCTGTGTATGACTGTGAAAATTTCAACATGACTCTTTTTAAATGCTAGTGGATAAATTTCACAATTATCTTTCCATGCAGACACAATCACATATACACTATCCATGCTGGGTACCTCAGGGAAGGTGGAAGCAGCACTTCCCACTGATCTGTTTTGTTATTTAGGTCAGTCATAATGCATGTCTTCAGAACAGGTAGGGTAATGTAACGTGCAGATGTATCAGAGTGTTTGTGGTTTGTGCCAAAAAATAGTGAAAACTAAAATGAACACTTCTGTCAAAATTTTTCATTTGGTCATTTAAAAAAGAACAAGTACTTTTTGATCTGTCACTTCATATAGGCATTTCCAGCACTAAACCACAAGGGAAGAAGCTTAAGCATCCAAGCCAAAATTTGCTTCATCCCAAGCCTTTTTGTATATTGTGTTGCTTAAATAAAATGCATTTAGGTTAACCTGAAGCTAGATGTTTTTTTGTTTTGTTTTGGTTTGTTTTTTTTTTTTGCTTGTTTTTTGAATTGAAGGATTATTTCAATCTGCAGAGAAAAATTTCCAAATCATGCAGCTATAAAAGAGAAAACCAAACAACAAACAACTTTGTTGTGTGAATAGGACATGTATGGATGAAGCTGATGGGGGAGAAATTGACCAGTCTGTTAATTTCCAGCATACATCCTGCTCCCCTGTGTACATCCCTTTCAGCATGCTATTATCTCTGTTGGCCAACCCAAAGGATTTTTTGATACACCTGTTCCTCCCCAGCCACATGGGTTAGGAACAGTCAAATTTTTCACAGGTAGTTGAGGTGGGACAGCTGAGCCTGGTAGGAAGTAGGACTGCTTTCTCTCTGTATTGCACATCACAGAGATCTGTGCAGCCTGGAGATGAAAGAAGAATCTTTTTTTCAAATCTTTTGAAGTACTGTGGCTGTTGGAAGGTGCTGTCCTGGTGGACTTCTTTCTAGATCTCACTTTCTTCAAAGACCACCTCCTCAGTTGTCTCTCCAGTGGTCACTTCTCCTTCGCTGCTGTCTGACACACTTGCCTGCAGACGAGGTGGAAGTGCACAGCCTTGCTCTGTGCATGGAACTGCCCTCTGCTTCGCCAGCAACTGCTGGAGCTTCATGCCCCAGGGCTCACTCACCTCCAGGCACAAGTGGTTGCTGCTGAGGTGCTCTTTTTTCTCTTTCTGTGAACATCTCCTGAGGTATTTGATGTTTTGCCCAAGAAAGCAGAGTTTACGACCAAAGGGTTCTGCCAGCAGGAAGCGGGACCACTGCTTGTGGAGTTCTGCTTTTACCTGAGGGGAGGAGAAAACAGGTGATGCCTTACGCCAGCCCAGCAGTGCACTCATCCAAACACTGGCAATTAAAGAAGAGGGACTGCAGAAGTGCTGAGTGTCTTGTGCCTTTGGAGTCACCTTGCAGCTGTGATGGTCCTTGTAGTGCAGAAATGGGCTTGTTTGCTAAGGGAGCCTTCGGGCTCCCACCCTCTTCACTCAAACTCAGGAAAGTTTTTCCAGTGCCTGAATCCCTCTCTGTAATTTGATGTATTATGACCCTGATCTGTGTGAGGGGAGAGCTCAAGCCCGTTCCATGTTTACAGCCTGATGAAGTGAAGGAAAACCCCAAGGGCTGTGGAAATGAGGACTGTGTGGCTTTTCCACAGTGTTGTGCTCAGAGATCAGGTTTGTTTTGCTGATTTTTTTTTAATTTGGCAGCCTGCCTTAAGTCCCCAACACTCAATGTCCTGTTTTTCCCTGCCCCGACCCCAGCTCTGCTCTGCAGATGGAAATCAGGCCTCAGAGCCCATGCAGAAGAGCAGCCCCCACTTCAACTGTCAAAATGTTTGGCCTGAGAGCTCAGCTCAGCTGGGATCTAAAAGCCCCCCAAAGCAACTTTTAACTGCTGATGAGTGTTGCTAGTAGTTCTGTGCCCCTCATAAATGTTGGACAAGTTCTCCTGTGCTGCAGATGAGCACCAGGTCTTTGACAGTAATTTGGAAGTTGTTCTAGGTTTCTTGGTTAAAAATTAGGATTGCATGCCCTACATTTTCTCTACAGCTCATATCTTTTTTTTTTTTTTTTTTTTTTTTTTTGCCTTTAAAAAGGTGTTCAGAATCGTGTACAAGTGTCAGTATACCACAGTATACACAATATAAGTGCAGTGTATACCACATCAGCTGCTCCCAGGCTGACTATAAGGGAGGTATAAACAGAAAGCTTCAATTTAGAAAATATTTAAAATTGTGACATGAATTCCTAAGCCTACACAAGCCTCATTTACAGAGGCAGCCTGTAATGATCTGGTGTGGCCATGCCAAGACTGTGTGCAGCTGTGGCAGCGATGAAGGCCTCCAGTACCGGGCTGCAGAGCAGAACGCGGAGATTAAGTGGTTATACTCCTTTACTCAGTGTCAACACTGTATCTGATATTGGGGCCCTCGATGTAACAAATATGGTGATAAGCTTGGACTTTTCAGTAGGGAACAGTGTTGGAGCATTTGCACTTTGAGGAGAGGCTACATGAGTAGCGCTTGTTCATTCTGCTTAGGAGAAAGGCTTCAGTGGAGTTCTGAATGTAGCCTATGAGGAGACTGTGGGGGATTTGGAGGTAGGTACTCTACTGAGGTGTTTTTTGACATGGGAGATAGTTGTCCTAAACTGAAAAAGGAGAAGTTCTTCCTGGAGCTCTGGAAAAGATGGTTCCTTCTGATAGCCGGGAAGCACTAGAGCAGAGGACAGGAGAGGTGGCAGAACCACCGCACTTGATGGTTTTCAATGCCCTGCTGGACAAAACCTGCCTTCTCTGAATTCCATCTCCACAATGCACTGAACAAGAGATTGGACTGGGGTTCTCCCGAGGTCCCTTGTGAGTTTTCTGTGATTTCTCTGCTGGCACCTCCTTGCACAACCATTAATGATCTGTCTCAGTTCTGGCATGGAGCAAATAAAACCCTCAAACTGACCCTTGAGGCTTAGTGGAAAACAACCTCCAGTCAAGAATTGCCTTCACCTCAAATTTAGAGATGTTCTTTGCAGTGCACACATGAAACTGATTTTTCAGCTTGTTGCTTTTTACCATGTAAGCATGCCAGATTTTGCAGCTTTACCTAGACTGTAGGGGAAAGTAAAGCAAGAGTTCAGCCTGGCCAAGGATATAAACTGGGATTTCATCTGTGTAAAGGAGTGGAGTTCAGAGGGCTGACCATAAGCATTCAGTGATGTTTCATGTCATAGAGTATCTATACGTCCACAGTGCCATATATTAACACAAGCTTAACTGAAAGTACTTTGCATTTGAATCCATTTGAATATGAGAAGTCTTGCTTTCTTTATACAAAACAATTACATAAACTTTAAAAGATGTAAGTATGCTCTCCAATAACCAGAGCTAGTCAGTGTTTTCATCCTTCTTGGTGTCAATATGTTTAATTAATTAACCAAAAACTTATATCGCCATCTCTTACCTCTCCATTTGCAAAGCAATATAAAACTGCTACAAAAAAACCCTGTAGGAGACAAACAGTAAGAAGGAAAAGTTAATTATCTGAAGGTTTAATGTAGAGTTGGCACTAGTATTAAAGCCATACAAACACGCAGTGCTATCTAATTTTCAGAATGCAAACTAGTTATGCGTCGTAATTTATCACTGCTATCAAGTACTCATCAATTTATTTTTGTGTGATGCCTTAGCAAATGTAGAGCACATTTGTAGATGTTTTGATGCAGATGCTGAAGAATGGAGGCTCTGCAACCCTATCTGATCTTATGTTTAATCTGTATTTTACTACCATAGAGTTCTTTTTTTCAGACTATTACTGTTATAGTCTAATTCCTGTTCCTAGACATGGTAAAACAAACTGAAATGCATGTCAGAACTCAATATTTAATATTTAATATTGAATCAATATTTAATCAATAATTTAATCAATAATTAATAATCAATATTTAATATGTATATCATTCTTTTTCACATTGAAACTTTTTTTCCCCCCAGAAATATTTCTGTTTTTCTCAGATTTGCAATGAAATTCACAGCAGCTTTAATATTTTTATTATGCCCTCCCATTGACTAATAGCAGTTTGAACCTACAGGGTTCTAACAATCCTCTAACCCTCTCTGTCATGCCAGTGGGTGCAAGGACAGGAGAAAAACCAATTGCAATTGCTTTCTGTGAATATTTTAATTCTACCATCTTTCATGCTCCTTCTGGATAGTGGTTGCAAGATCTGTGTGCTTCTGACATATCCTTTGTCAGTGTAACTTTCAAATGATTCTCTGCATCTGAATTATCTCACAGCATTATGAAAAAATAAATCTGAATATTGAGAGACTTTATGTTGATTAAATACAAGTTGGCTTAAAAAAGCAGTTTTTATGCAGAACTACACATGGAAAAAGAGCTTTTTTTTGCAGAACTTCTTCATCTGAAGATTGTTCTCTCATTGGATAGAAATGCCACGTGTCTCTAATCTCTTACACCATGGAAACTGACAAGCAGAAATAGGGGCCGTACCGCTTGGTGCTGCTAAGAGATGGCCAGAAGTCACCAGAACAGGAGAAGGCTTTGTGAGTGCTGGTGGCATCTCTGTGTTGAATGGAGATTTATTAACCCCCATGTGAATTAAAGCACCGAATGATGCACAGAAACACTGTAAAATGACATCAGAAGGTGGCATGGTTATTTGTATTTGCTGTTTGTTTTATATCCTGATTTCTGTAATGCTTTTGTTGTGCTTTTTGAAAATGTTTGAGTGAAAGACTCCAGGGAAGATCCCAGAGGTGGCTCTTTTCCTTTAATGAAACAGTTTAACTGAGTTTTAAAAGCACTGAGGAGATTTACAGACTAAACAAATGTAATTGGGTACAGTTTATGTGCTTTTTTCACTAATCCCTTAACAAATAATGTTGTGGCTAAAAAAGAGAATCTACAATAAACATCACCCAAGATTTCTGGGTATTCTGAAAAGAAGTTTTGCTTCTAAAGCTTGTCATACAGCAGAGCCTGTAAATAGAACAAAGTTTGTGCTTTTTGGCAGGGTTGAGTAAGCTGTCCTCTGTATCATGCTTCCTTGTCCAAGCCACTAAATAAAAAATTCATTTAAAATGATTATGTTGCTTAAAATAACATCTAGACCCTGCAGCCTCTCCAAGTAAGGATATGTCTAACATACACTTCAACACCATATCAAACAGTCCTCTTAGGGTGATGGTTCCACATGAATTGCCTTCTGCCCGCCTGGACATTTTTCTGCTCAATTGGAAATTTTTCATTAGAGGCTCAAATTGCAGTCAAAGCACTGATGCATACACCAAGGCACTGGAGCATACATACAGATTGAAAACTGAGATTACAATAAATTCTAGTGCTTTGATGCCTTCGTATTTCAGGCTACCAAAGATGGCAAAAGGGCTGAGTTAGTGAGCAAGAAGGACTTCTGGCCCAAAGAATTCCCGGGCACCTCATTAAAGACAGAAGACCTGGATGCTGATGTGTTGTATCACTGAGATTATTAAGGCTGAAAGGCAAGGCAGGGCAAGAGTGTTGAATGAATCATGGAATGGTTGTAAAGGTTCTCTTAGCCCCCCAGGCTCTCCTGCCATGGGCTGGCTGCCCCCCCAGCTCAGTCTAGCAGCAGTGCTGTGGCCTCTCTGCCTCTAGGTAAAGAATTTCGTCCTCATATCTAACCTACATTTCCCTTCTTTTAGTTTAAAACCATTCCTCCTTGTCCCATCACTATCAGACCATGTAAAAAGTCTTTCTCCTTCCTATCAGCTCGCCTGAAGTTCTGGAATGCCACAGTGAAGTCTCCGTGGAGCCTTCTCCATGCTGAATACCCCCAGTTCCTCAAACTACCTGGAAAGGTAGTTAAATGGGAGTGCTACATGTAAAAAATCAATACTCAGCAACTTTGTATAATATGGATTGATGCATACAGCAGTGCAGTGACTGGTATGTCCATTCCTAAGCCTTTCTAAACTGCAGGATAAAGTTACCATGAAACACGAGTGTAGTTATGCATAAGTGATGGTGAGAGTGGTGAGATTCACTGTTCATTTTCAGTAATGGCTAGCTGTGGAATTTGGACTATTTAGCATTAACCGCTATAATGGAGCATGCTTCCTTTACACATACAATTTCCCCTACACATATACAATTACCCAAAATGGAGTGAAACTGTTCCTTGTATCTGCAGGTATTGTGCCCATTTTCTCTTATCTTTCTTTTTTTTTTTTTTTTCTTTTCTTGTTGTGTGATATGACATAATCATTGTGGTGTATTTGACATATGCTGAATATAGAAAATTTGCTGAAGAACATGAACCCAGGCCCAACCTGCTTCTCCTGACTACAAAATCAAGAGGTCACTTTAAAATTGTAATAAAATTCTGCCCAGTGTTTTTAAAGAATTAATTTACATGAAACACTACTTAAAATAGGCTGGTTTTATTCTGTTTTCAGGTCAGAGATCTGTCACTATCAGAGAACACAGGATATGCTCTGTCTGATAACATCAGACTCCTTTTTTTGGACTTTTGGGTCACCATGTTTTGAACACTCCATGTATTTTTTATCATCTCTATTGTATATTTACAGACATTACAGGCCACAGTAAACTATTTTAAAAGGATTCTATACGCCTGTGGAATCTACACATAAACAACATACGTAGGTAGTGGGTATGTAACGCCTAAAAAATACTTGCAGAACAGTACTTACATGAAATGAACTCATTGTCAGCTGAATGAAAAGTCTTACGTGTCTTGGAAATCCTTCCACCTGTTCATCAGTGATGAAGGAAAATATAAACTCATGGATCCCCAGCAATGGAATCAGCACAAGTGTAGATCTTGCCAGTCTTAAAAAGAAAATATTTAATTATGGTATTTCTCAACATCCTTAGTGCAAAAAGTGGATCTACATAGAAATGATTCCAGAAATGATTGCCCAGCTAACTAGGGGGCTCTCAGTTAGCTAGATATTGACAAATGTGATGTTGATCTGTAAGAAGGGAGGAAGGAGATCTGGGGGATTAACACACCTGTCAGTCTGACATCCGTGCAGGGAAAGTCATGCAGCAGAGCATCTTGGGTGAAATCATAAAGCATGTGCAGGACAACAAGTGATCAGACACAGTCAGCATGTGTTTATGAAAGGCAGGTCCTTCTTGACTAGCCTGATTTTCTATAAAATGATGACCTGTGTAGTGCATGAGGGAAAAGCTGTAGATATTGTTTACTTGGACTTTTGCGAGGCATTTGATACTGTATCCCACACCTTTCTCCTGGAAGAACTGACTGCTCATAGTTTGAATGGATGGCTAGCCCAGCTAGAAGGCTGGGCACAAAGGGTCACTGTGAATAGAGTTAAATGTGGTTGGCAATCAGTCACAAGTGGTGTTCCTCAGGGCTCAGTACTGTGGCCAATTTTACTGAACATTTTAATCAATGATCTTGATGGAGGGGGTGCAAGCTCAGTCATTTTGCACGGTGCCTGTGTCAGTGAAAAACGGGTAGGTGCTGGTGACCAAGGAAACTAGGAACATTTCACAGATCTTCTGAACATTTCTTCTTTTGAGGGCCCTTTTTCACAATCACAGAAAACAGAAGTTACAGCAGTCAAGGCTGTTTTATATGCATTCTGGACACCCGAGAGAAGAATCCATACTGCATTTTAAACTCTTTGAGGAGGTTAACACACTGATAATGACCTATCTTTATCACTCAGGTAAGAAATTATTTGTGGAGTCTGTTTTCCCAGCTGGCTTCTGTATATCTTATTCTGAATATATTTTACATTGGCAGTAGTGGGTAGGTAAGTGTGTAATCTGCAAGGGAACTGATGTTCTGATGGGAACATTCCGATGCTGTGAAAATAAAAAGGACTAGGATTTCTTGTTATGTATTACATACCTGTATTTGTAGTCATGAAAGCTCATTTGCTGGGCTTTTAGTTTGGAAATCAACATCCTCAAAATTTTTAAGAAGATGCCAAAATTAACCTTGAAAGAAAATACATATTGATTATTTATTAGTTCAGATTCCCTCTGGATTTGAAGTTCGGGACTTTGTCAATTGTGATCCCTCCCTTAGTTTTGGGGCAGTTCTGCTCTCTTTCAGCTTTTTCCTTACACCTTTCAAGTCTCTTCTCTTTATTTATACAGACTGGGGGAAGATGTGCTTGAGAGCAGCCCTGCGCAGAAGGACTTGGGGTTCTGGTGGGCGAGAAGCTGGCCATGAGGCAGCAGTGAGCGCCTGCAGCCTGGAAGGCCAGCTGTGTTGTGGGCTGCATGAAAAAGGGGTGGCCAGCAGGAGATGGAGGTGATTGTCCCCCTCCATCGGCTCCTGCAAGGCCCCATCTGCAGCGCTGCGTCCAGGCCTGGGGCCCCCAGCACAGCAAGGACGTGGAGCTCTGGCAGCGGGTCCAGAGGAGGCACTGAGATGAGCAGAGGGCTGGAGCAGCTCTGTGTGAGGAAAGGCTGAGGGAACTGGGCCTGTTGAGCTTGGGGAAGAGAAGGCTGTGGGGAGACCTCACTGTGGCCTTCCAGTGCTTGAAGGGAGCGTAGAAACAGGAGGGGAATGGTGATAGCATAAGGGGGAATGGTTTTAAAGTGAAACAGGGGAGGTTTAGGTTGGATATGAGGAGGAAGTTTTTGAGCCAGAGGGTGGTGAGGCACTGGCACAGGTTGCCCAAGGAGGCTGTGGATGCCCCATCCCTGCAGGCATTCAAGGCCAGGCTGGATGTGGCTCTGGGCAGCCTGGGCTGCTGGTTGGTGACCTGCACACAGCAGGGGGTTGGAACTGATGAGCATTGTGGTCCTTTTCAACCCAGGCCATTCTATGATTCTATGATTCTTTGATGATTCTATGATATGATTCTTTTCTGGCTCTTCTCTCCACTGCCTTTTGAGAGACAGAGAAAGCTCTGTTGCCCATCAAATGTTTTACTTCTTGATGACTCTGAAGTCATCTCTTCACAGTCTGCTTCACAGTCCCAGCTATGTCCCCTTTCTCTCTCATGCTTCTCTCCAGCTCAGTAGAAGCAAAACAGTCCACTGCTTCTTCTCTAAGGTCATAATTGCTACATCTCTACTACATGTCTACAGCATGACAGAAAATTATACCCTTCTTTCCACACACATCAGTTCCTCAGTATCACAGTCTGAGCAGTCCTAGCATAAGTAAAGTGGATTTCTTCTCTACAATATTTGCTGGACAAATTAGCAGGATGCTGATGAAATCATCTATTTCTCTAATCTTTTTTACACCTTGTCGACTCTGTGAAAATGTAAGTTGTTCTGGGGACTTACCTAACCCTCACCCATCAGAATTCTGTGTTTGTAACCATATCCTCAGGAACTGTTCTGATCATGCTATCTTCATTACCACCCGATTTCAGGTTTAAACTTCTTTTTGAAAACATATTTTAGTCTTGTTATGCCTTACTACATTTTTTTACATTATTCTGGTGCTTGTTTAGACTAATGCTTTCTTCCTATGACCATCAACATTTTTTGTTGCTATTTCTTTGTATCCTTGCTATTGCACAACATACTCTGTAGTTGCTCACCACGTGGTAGTACTGTCCTAAGTAATCTATTCACTGAATAAAGCATTGTAAAAATACAAGAAGCAGGTACTAGAAGGCATTGTGTTAGTTTGTGCAGAGCACTGCAGAAGTCACTGCACAGATACATAGTTGAGAGCTGACACTGAAAATTTTCTTGCTTACAGATTTATAATGTGAAGCTGTGTGCACTGACAGTGAGTAAGAAAGCTCATTTACAATCATTTCTGCCTCATCTTCTCTAATACAACAATTAGATTACGTTTATAGGAAGGATTATGATAGACATAGTTGTGTATGCTATGTAGGATTCTCTGAAAGTAATGCTTGCTATTTATTTCCATGGAAATTACAACAGATATAAAGAGCACTGTAATGCCATTTGATTGTGCAAATTTGCAGCTATGGAACACTTTTTCATGCATCATGGGCCAACATGATAAAATAAGAGATGTTACTTTTGATGCAGCCATCATGCGAGGAACAGATAAAATAGTTCTTACTGTAATGGAAAACAACATCGGTCCTCTAATGATCCACCAGATTCCCATGTGTTCATTTGTTCCCCAGCACCTGCAGCATAATTAAAAATATATATATATTATTTTCATGGAAATAAATAAGAAAGCTTAAATAACGTATGTACGTATTTCAAAGGAAACTTGACTAAATTTAAACATCTAAGTGGTATTCAAGAGAAATTGAATTAAACTGTGAATAGTATAACAAACAAGTGTATATTTTGTGAAGATCTTCCTGCTAGAATTTTGAGAGACATTTCCGTAGGCTGTAAACCTCAAAACAATCTGGTGAATTCTGCCTTTGGATCTACACTACAACTGCAAGTGGCACTGAAACTTCACAGCGGGACACATCTTACCCAAATTTAGTCACTAAAATCATGAACTGGAAAAGGATAAATCTGAATTGTAACTTCTGAACTAACTAAGAAGTATGCATACAGACTGTGAATGGAACAGAATAGTTCAGTTGGAAGGGGCTTTCAGAGATCAAATCCAACTGCTTGATCGCTTCTGGGCTAAGCAAAAGTTAAAGTATCTTACTGAGTGCATTATCCAAATGCATTGATAGGCATGGGGCACAAACCACACCTCTCAGGAACCTGTTCTACTGCTCGACCACCGTCACAGTTAAAGAAATTTTGCCAAATATCCAGTCTGAAATCCCCACTAACACAGTCACCAGGGAGCAGAGCCCAGCACCTCCCTCTGTTTCTCCTCCTCATGGAGTTGTGGAGAACAATGAGGTCACCTCTTGGCCTCCTTCTCTCCAAAACAGACAACCTAAGTGTCCTCAGCTACTTTTCACAGGACATGCCTTCCTTTTACCAGTGTTGTTGCCCTCCTCTTGATGCTTTCAAGAACCTTTATATCCTTTTATACTGTGAAGAACAGAACTGTACACAATATGCAAGGTGAGACTACACCGACACTTAATATAATAGGAAAATTATCTCTGGCTGGCTAAAATGCATTTAATGCACTCCAAAATGCAGTTTGTCCTTTTGGCTGCCAAGGCATACTGTTGGCACGATGCACATTGAGCCTGCTATCGACCAGCGCCTCTAGGTCTCTTTCTGCAGGGTGTTCTCCGGACATTCATCTCCCAGTCCATAATTGTGTCTGGCATTATTCTGTCTCAGACACAGAGCCTGGCACTTGCTTTTCTTGAACTTCATGACATTGATGATCAACTTACGTAAATCCCTCTGCAAGGCTACTTGTCCCTCCGGAGGGCCAAGAGATCCTCCCACTTTAGACTCATTAGCACACTCGCTGATGATGCATTGCACTCTTGCATTCAGATTATTGATAAAAATTGAGGTCTGGAGAGCCCTGCTAGTGACTATCCACCAAACAGATATAGCCCCATTCAGTACAACACTGTGAGCTCTAGCATTGTGCCAATTCATCACCTAGTGTGTTGTCAACCTGTTTATCTCACAGTTGGACAATTATTCTAGAAGGAAGCCATAAGGAACAGTATCAACAGCCTTACTAAAATCCAGAAAGATGGTGTTCACTGCCTTCCCTTCATCCACCAAGCAGAATACTTTATCACAGAAGGAGATGAAGCTACTAAGGTAATAGTTTCACTTATGAATCCATGTGGACTATGCCTGACAATAGCTTTGTCCTTAAGCTGCCCTTCACATCTCCCAGGCTGTTCTCCATAGCTTTTCCAGGAATCGAATAATGTGTCCATAGTTTCCTGGGTTTCACACGCACTTTTTGTAGATGAGTGTAACATTGGCTGTCTTCCTGTCAGCAGGAAAATGTCTCCTTTTCTCCTCTACACTTCTGATTTGTCCAGTGCACATATTCATTATCTGCTGCTTGATCTAGCGGCTGGCAAAACCCTGCCTAGAGCAGGGGGGTAGAAATGGATGGTCAATGACATCCCTCCCAACCCATAGCCATTTTATCATTCTATGATTCTTTTTTTTGCCAATTAGCTTGCTGTAAACCTGTGGGACGAGGGCTTGCCATTTAAGGCCTGTATAACCTCTAATTCTATGAGACTGTAATTGTGACTTGGTTCCTGATGTTATTGCCTAATAGCATATGGTTATTCCAAACAAAACTCTTTAGGAACCACAAATTAAAAAAGAGAATTAAAGAAAATAAATCTTATTTTATGAAATTTATGAAAGAACTATTTATGAAAAACCAAGTCTATGTGACACCAGTAGAAGATTGAAGACCAGAAAAGTGGAAAACTGATAGCTACCAATGCAAGTTACCCTCAGCAATTAATTCACACAGAATGCATTCATTTAAGTTCAACTTTTTGTGAATATCAGATTTTGTCATTATCTACTATAACTAATATTTTTTTCCTGAATGTTAATAAAACTCAAACCAATGATGGTCTCCAGGGAAAGCACCGGTCTCCTTTTCTTGATAAGACGCTCTCTTATGGGGAAGATGTTTGTGCAGGAAAATTGCCTCACATGAATTAAAAATAGATACAAGTTTTCATTTGAGAAACAGTGAATGTTCATTTTCCTTCTTGATTTATGTATAATTGAATCAATGAATTTCCAGTAGTTAAATGTGAAAAGAATAAAATGAACCTTTAAAATCTAGCAAGTCTTATTATGTGCTGTATAATCTTAATGTAATCCAATAGTCAATAGTTTTGCCAGTTACTGTCAAAAGCTTCTGGAAAAAAATAAGCAAACTGAAAACCAGTATTCTAAGATTGTTTAGCCTAGTAACCTACCCTGTGTTCTCCAGTTTCGATCTGCTTATTCCCCAGGGAGCAACAAATAGAATAGGAACAGCTGTAAGAAAAAAAGTTATTACAGCCAAGCTTGCAGAATGATTCATACAAAATAAAGACACACTACTATGGACCTGGTGCAATATGATTTTCAGCATTCTACTTAGATGTTGTACAAAAATCAACCTCTTCCTGTTTTTCTCCATTTGCACCTCAAAGAAAATAAGAACTTCATTGTATAATTGAATATCACATTTTCAGTGTGCAAATTGCATGCACATACATGAATACATAAACACTACTGATCAGCCTAAATTTTCTAAGTCTCTGATGTAGATAAACTAGAAAAAATATGAATACTCCAGCAGAGGCCTCCAAGATTACTGGGACCTGTAGTGCATCATGTAGAAGAGACTGAGAGAACTAAATGTCTTCAGCCTTAAGAAGAAAAGTTTAAGAGGAAGCCTAACTGCTGTCTTCAATACTAACAATAGCAGAAGCACATGGAGCAGGAGGTGCACAGCAAAAGAGTGGTAGAAAGAGCAGTAGCAGGCAATGTTCATATTAGATATAAAGAAAATATTCTTCACAATTAGAGCAACCAAGCATTGAAATGTGCACACAAACGAGAAGTGGCATTTCCATTCCTCCAAATAATCAGAACTCTACTGGTTTGGAGCAAACTCATGTAACTTTGAAGCAGGTGCCGTTTTGAGGAAGGGGCTTAGGACATGGGAAAATTCAATCTTTCCAATGAAACACCAAAAGTGAAAATATTTCAGTCTTATGGTGGTCATTTTCAGTGAAGTTTTGGTGTGGGTTTTTTTGTTTGTTTGTTTTATTGATTTTGGGTTTGTTTGTTTGCTTGTTTTTTAAGAAGCAGAGGTTCTTTCTGGAAAACCTTTAATAAAACCTTAGTTTTATTAAAACTAAACAGATTTCCACACAAAAATATATTTGTCTGGACAATGCTCACTATGTCTAGCAATGTGATGAAACCAGATGATCTCTACAGTTCTGTTCCTTCTTGTCTTCTTCCTATAGTTCTGGGAAGAATGTAGATATTACCCACAGAAATTTAACTTCGTCAGATAAAATGAGTCCCTCTCTCTACCAGATAGACTAACCATAAGATATAGTCTAGTTCAGCATTAGAGATCAATACATACTTTAAAGACCAGTATATTTGTTTAGCAAAAGGAACTGATGTGTGTTAGTTCAGTAAAATTTCCTAGTTTATGCAGAAACCCTGTTTTGAATCTTGATTAAGGAATTGATATTTTTCTACAGGAATGGTTCCCATTTCATAAATATTTGTACATTTATTTAACAAATATATTCATAAACACAGAAAACGTGGCCTTAACTGAAATTCACTTAATTCTAGGAATTATTCCAGAAGGATATTTCATTCTTAGATTCTACCCAATTCCTATTTAAAATATCAAGAGATAGCACAGGTACCAAAAAGAAGTAAAAGGAACTTGTCTCAATTCCCTGTGATTATTACAGTCTTGTACAATTTTGGACACCTGGAACTGAATGATGTGAATCACTGTCAAATTGACAAGGAATTTATAACAACAGTCTTTATAACAGTAAACAAAAATTTATTTTTAGCATTTTTAATTGTTTTTTTTTTTCCATTCCAACTGCAATTATTATAATTTCAATCTTAGTTGACATTTTATTTGTTTTTCTTTGTTTGAATCTAAACAGTTCTTTATGATTTACCTCTTTATCTTGGGTAAAGATTTTAGTACGCAATAAAGCAGAGAAAATATGGAATAATTTACTTATAATTACATAGTCATCCGCTACAGATTAATCCTTTAAAAATAATTTTCCTTAGTACATTTTTTTTCTTTTTCGTGTTTTAAATATATATATATATATAAGCATATATATATACATTCATATATGCACATACAGATATATATGTATCCTACAGTACTGGATATGCAATTTTACATTTGAGAAAGTAAATTGAATGGTGTGAGTGAGCTAGTAAATCTGTACACAGATAAAAGCTTTATGATCGGCAGATATTCTATTCCATCCACCCTATCATCCTCCTCAGTTCAGTCCATCAGCTATGAATCAGTCCTGCACTAAACCTGCCTAAACATTGTCTAAAATTACATTTTTAAATCTTCATAAAAAACTTTCTAAGACTTGCAAGTTGTATGGGTAGATTTTAGATCATTATTGGGAATTAGGAAACCTTGACTTTTCCTTTTGTTCAACCTGTATACAGAATTATGATAAGTGAGCAACAAACACGATTGTCCGATTATGTGCTACTCACATGAAAAAAGGAAAAGAGAAAATAATTTACACAACATTGTTAAAATGCTTGTAACTGCCTTTGTGTTGTCTTTCTTCCATGAAAAATGTCTGAAATGCAGGATCTGAATCATGTAGTGTTTTGAACTGTCCTCTAATTTAAAGCACACTTTAGAGCTTCAGCAAATTTTGCTGAGCTCAGAAGGTGAATACATAAAAGCAAAGCTCTTAATGTGTAGATATCTTGACCACATAAATGCTCTAATTCAAATGAAGAAATTGAAGGTGCTGATAATGCTTTAATATTCTACGCTGGTAGAGAATATTACCAAGTGTAGTAACTTTTCTTCTCATTCTATTAGGCTATTGTTTTCAGGTAAACCAAGATATTACCTCAAATCAAACAGAGCTGCAACTAACATGTCACTTCTAGTATACTTCTATTGAGAAATGCCGGTTTCAGAACAAAAATGAAACTTTTTTTTTTCCTCTTTTCATTACAAAATATTCACTAATGATTTGAAAAAATACCACAGAATCAAGAACTTTGAAATTGTTAGATACTCACCCCATCCTATCACTATATATGTCTGCAGCAGTCTTCTTTCTGAGAACACAGCAGTAATCAATAACGTATGCAGATAAATTCCTTCTACTAATAGCCAAAAATAATTTGCTCCAACAAAATAGTGCATGAAAAACTGAGCGGTTCTGCAAATGATTAAAATCTGTAGGAATGAAAGACCAGGAACCACTGTAATACATAGAAGTTCTGACAAATCCTAATTTTCCCTGGTTACTTCAGCTATCATTTTAAAACCAGTATGTGGCTGTGATACACATGCATTTCAGTCATATGTACTTCAAGATTCTGAGCTGCTGTTATTTTGGGAGATCTGGACTTTCTGGGAATAGAGGTAAACATGTGATGCAGTTAGGTTGGATTTGTCTCTGCCTTTGGAGAAAAAAAGGGCAGAACCAGAGTTCAAAAAGCATTTGGTGAAATGTTGGAATATGAATTGATATTAGGATAGTGTGGAATCAGGAGCTGGACTTGATGATCTGCCATTGCAGAGGAGCTGAAACTAGATGATCTTTAAGAGTTCCTCCAACCCAAGCCACTCTATAGTTCTATGATTCTATGATCCTTGTGGATCCCTGCCAATACAGGGTGCACTATGATTCTGAAAACAACTTAGAGTTCATGCCAAGAGTTTATACTTGGGAACAAGGGGAAGCACTGAGGAGTATTACTTTTATTGTTTACTAGAAGATAAGTGCTCCTGGTATACAAGCAGATCAGCAGAATTATTCTGTCTTTCTGAGGCCCCACCTGGAGCACATGCCCAGGTCTGGGGCCCCCAGCAGAAGGATGCAGATCTGTTGGAGTTGGTCCAGAGAATGGCCATGGAAATGGCCATGGAATGGCCATGGAGAGGGGCTGGAGCACCCCTCCTATGGAGAAAGGCTGAGGGAGTTCATCTTGTTCAGCCTGGAGAAGGGAAGGCTTCAAAGAGATCTCACTGAGGCTCTCCAGTGTTTAAAGGGAGACTATAAACAGGAGAGAGACCAATTTTTTTCATGATCTGATAGCTACAGAGCAAGGGCAATGGTCTTAAACTTTAAATGGGGAGATTTAGGTTAGCTGCTAGGAGGAAATTCTTCACCCAGAAGTGATGAGGTCCTGGCACTGCTGCCCTGAGAGCTGTGGGTTCCCCATCCTTGCAGATGCCCAAAGGCCATGGATGGGCCTGAGCTGGGCGGAGAGCCAATCCATGGCAGGGATGGGGCTGGGAAGGCTGTGAAGTCCCTTCCAATTCAACCATATGGGATTCTGTGAAAGTAACTCTGCAATGGCTGTTGTGGTCAGTAGTGACTCTGAAAATCTGCACATTTTCCTAGTGCTGAAAAACCTTTGAACTGTTTTCCCCTTCATGTACTTTCACAGTAAATGCGTTGTTTGGAAGCACAGTGTTACATGCAGTATTTGTGTACGTTGCATTTTGCTATGCATACCTAGAATGAATAAATGCAAGAGTTCTTAAGTAAGTGCTGAAAAAATGTATTGAATTCTTCCTAAGGCTACAAGCGTGAAAAAACTGTTTTGCTTAAGTAAAAATGTGTAAACATATCTATAGATTTTTTTTAGTATGTTTGTTGTTTTTTTAATGAGTGCATTATGATTTATAAACGTTTTTCCAGACTGCCTGAGATTTGAATCTCAACTAACAAACACCTTAAAACTTGGTGCTAACTTCTATATTTGTAATTGTTATGGCCACTGGGAGTACACATTTACTATTAGCAACTAAGAAGTTACCTCAGGACTGAGGTATAATATCCATCCAGTTTCATCATTGGGTCTTTTGGAGTAAATCCTGTGGAGTACAGTGTCTTTAATAAGAATGGCTGTGGCACGCAAGATGAAAGATGCAAATAAATTCATATGGATGTAGTTTCTTGTGCAGTGAAGTTTTCTGTGGGGAAGAAAATGTATAAATCCTCTGGAGTATATTTAATCCAAAGAAAGCAACAATAAAAAATACCATTATAGTCATATTGTTGCCATTGATTGATTTTATACAGGAATTTCCTCCATAACTTACATCAGAAATAAGAAATCCAACTATGCAAAAACAATATGCATATTGTGTTTTATATTTAAAAATGCATGCAATTTCATACTAACCTGAGTAAAGAAAGTATAAGAAGAGCTAAGACAAGTGAGATGAGAGAAAGATAATATCCTACGGTGTACAGCAACTGTAGTGTGGTAAGTAATTTATGTTCTTTTTCCTAGGAAAAGAAAAAAAGAAAGAGAAGCTTTGCATATGTATATGCAGGCAGGTAAGTAGGATATGAATATAAATCAAAAGCTTTCGAGTCCAATTTATTTGTGTTGCAGCATAGCCAGGGCAAATTTCTGATATCTGTTCCCTGCATTTTCTCATGAAAACCTTGTGGGAGACACCCTGGAGAACAGACCAAGTTTCTTCTCAGATTTGAAGGCAGTCAAGGACCCATTTCCAGATTTCTCTTGCACAAATCCAATTTTGAGTCTTAATGACTATTAATCATTAAAACAATCACATAAATGAAATGGATCCTAACGTTTAATAAGTGCAGAGTGAGCTCCACCCCTGCACTGAAATGCAATAGCTGTGTTATCTGGGGAGCCAAGACGCACACTGCTCTTCCGAGCACAATTTTCAGAGGCAACTGTATCTACAGAGTGATTGAAATAGACTGCCTGCTTCTTAATACAACACAGATGTTAAGGAGTTTTATTTGGGCTGGGGTTTGTCTGGCTACTTTTGCTGTTAACTGTGTAACCTTTGCTGTTAACTGTGTGATTTAATCATACAGCCACAGATTATCACACTCTCCTCCTGCCAGCTAATTGTCTCTAAATCAGCCTATGCTAATAAGCACTGTCTGAATAGCAGAGTGAGCTGTGCCTGCTGGTGGAAGCCTTGGAGAGGATGCCCAGAGGCACAGCAGGAGATTCCCAAGGGATGTTCATTAGTCACTCAGCTCCATGAAAACATTCCAACAGGATGAATTGTATTGGCTGTGACATTTTTTCAAATCTGAAGCAAATGAAATGAAGTTGATTCATCAGATGCGGGTGGATGCAAGTTCTGGGTTATTCCTAACAGCTTGTGGCTTTTGACTAAATATAATTACATGGTATAAACACACATTTAGGCTTGTTCGGAAAGCTGGCTAAAACTTTCAGAGAAACCTCTTGTTCTCTTGCTGTCACACCTGATGAATTAAAGTGGCAGTCCTCCACCCACACCTTTACAATCCAGGATAGTCAACGGGCTGCAGAAAAACAAAGTACTCCAAGTTTATCACACTTGAATAAACTGTGAGGTTGGAAAACCATATATTCACTGTATAAAGAATTTATTAAGGTCTTGGTAATCCTGAAATAATCTTGCTTAATAGATAATACACGATCAATAAATTACTAAAAAAAAAATAAAATCAATAAAGTAATAAACATTAGTATCATTTACCAAAGTAACAAAAGCTAAGTTAATAAAGTGTTCAGTAGTAATACTGCTCTCCAAACAGACTTCATTTTGAGATCAGCAAGACAAACAGTGCAGCAAAAGAAGTTACAAGAAGCTGAAACCCATTCAGTCACATGCTTTACTGTTATCTGAAACTGTTGCATTCATTGCCAGGCATTGGTAGCTGGGCAATGTGGCAAGGCATCAGGATCCCTGGTTTCCAGCTTGAACTGCTATGCTAAAAGGCTCAGGAGGTCACAGGGGTTGGGAGTCTGGCTTTGGCTGACTTCCAGTCCTCTGAGCTATTTGCTAGACAAGTTGCAGGCTTTTCATTTCAATTTTATTAGGAGGGATTCAGTACATGTGAATGCTGAACTCTAAACAGAAAACAATTTCTCTAATCTAAAGCTAGAATCTCCTTCCTTAATCTTTCTTCCTCTGCTTCTTCTTAGCAGTTTTCAATTTGGTAATCCAAATGAAATCTGAACATCTTTTGCAGGTATTCAACCGAAATATTTTATCAGTTATTCAAGAAGGGATTACGAAGATTAAAGGATTAAACCATGGTATAAAACATCATGCTTACATTTTTTTGGAGATTATTTTTCTCAGAACATTCTGAACTGTCACGCCAAATGTCTGTGGAGTTTTCCTTCGTTTGCCAAGTTCCTTCATCTAAGCAGACTCTGTATACATTTCCTGCACTTCCTGAAAGTAAATAGAGGTTAGTCTTACAGGTAAAAATAAAGATTTCATTTTTCATGAACATTCTAAGGATTTCCCTTTACACTATAGCAATAAACCTTTGCTCAAATGCAGACAAAACAAGCAAACAACAACAACAAAAAACAATAAACAAAAACAAAAAAAAACAATCAAAACAAAACAAAACAAAAAAAAAAACCACATCTTTTATTTTGTCTTTGACAATATATTTTTCACATTTGTGTAGAAGAAAGTAGGGAAGATAGTCAGCGTCACCTCAGTCTTCAAAAAGGGCAAGAAGAAGGATCTGGGAAATTACATGCCAGTTAGCTTCAATTCTGTCCCTGGAGAGGTGATGGAGGTGATGGATACTTGTTCTTGGTGCCATCTCCAAGAAATTAGAAGAGAAGAAAGTTATCATGAGTAGTTAATGTGGATTCACCAAGGGGTAATCATGCTTGACCAATGGGGAGGGAGCAGTGCATTTTGTGTATCTTGACTTGAGCGAGGTGTTTGACACCATCTCCCACAACATCCTTGTTGTGAAACAAGGTGTAGGATAGGTGAGTGGATGGTGAGGTGGACTGAGATCTGGCTGAATGGCAGAGCTCAGAGAGTAATGATCAGTGACTCAGAGTCTAGTTGGAGGCCTTTATCTAGTGTTCCCTAGGGGACAGTGCTGGGTCAAGTCTTCCCTCAATATCTTCATCAACGACCCAGGAGAAAGGACGGTGTCCACCGTCAGCATGTTCTGATGGGAGTAGCTGGGAGGATTGGCTGATACACTGGAAGGCTGTCCTGCCATTCAGTGGGACCTGGACAGACTAGAGTGTTGGGCAGAGAGGAACCTTATGAGGTTCAGAAAGTGAAGAGGGCACATGAAGTGTCCTACACCTGAGGAGGAATAACCACATGCATCAGTACAGGACAGGTGCTGACCTGCTGGAAAGGTGCTCTGCAGAGAAGGACCTAGAGATTCTGGTGACCATCAGAGTGACCATGAGCCAACAATGTGCTCTTGAGGCCAAGAAGGCCAGTGATGTATAGTGCATTACAAAGAGTGTGGCCAGTAGGGTGAGGGAGGTTCTCCCCTCTGCTTTGCTCTGGTGAGATCACATCTGGAGTATCTTGTCCAGTTCTGGGTTCCTCAGCTCAAGGTTAGCAGGGAAAGATGGCCAGGGCCTGGAGCATCTCCCTTATGAGGGAAGGCTGAGAGACCTGGGGCTGTTCAGTCTGGAGAAGAGACAGCTAAGAGGGGATATAACAGTTGCCATACAGCAGCAACCACCAGAATATCTAATTTTACTTTGAATGACTGGAACTGAGAGAACTGTTTTTGGAGCACAGTTTGCTGTGAAGGCGCAGGAGCTTTGTGTGATGATTGCCTGTTCATGTTCAGTGCACATTTTATTGTCCAACATGTAGTGGAATTCTAACAGATTCCCCAAGCAGGAAATGACCTCCATGTTTACAAGTACTCTGGCATACTGTACAGAGATGGAGACTCTTTAAGGACATGATTTATGTAGTATGACAAATATCTCTTTAAAAAGTAAAAGCATATCAGAGAAGAAAAAGTTCCTGTCTAGGACAAAAAGCTAAGGGATCCCAGAAGTTCATGTCAGATCAGGTCAGGAGGGATCTTAGGGTTTATGTTATTTAGAGAATCACCTTCCTAAGCTTTCATTCAGAAATTGCCATGTTGCAGTGTGGTCCCACTTCATTGCTAGGCTAGCTCTAGAGGCAGTAAACTGACAAAGTAGGAGAGACGAAATAATGCTTTGTGAGCTCTTCTGTATTAGCATTAGGGAGAATTTTGGCAACGCTTTGTATACTCTAATCTTCAGAAAGGCCATGCAGGAGCCTGACTGTGAGGATGGGCCTTGGGATTCTAGAGCCAGGAAAAGGGGCTAAAATTTATGTGGACCTTAACTGGAGCAGATATTTAATCACTGAATAAAAATAAGGAGTTCATATGAAATGTGGTCCAAAATCTTAGTTCTATAGTACTCTAGTTTTCTAGTGAAATGATACCAAATCATAAAAAAATCTATCTCAAGCCCACAAGCATTTTTGGTTCAAGTCCAAGTTGTGTTCCAGGATAACCACAGCTGTACCTTGAAAACGTGAAGAGGAGAAGAGAGGACCACAGGTAACCCCAGATCCACAGAACTACCAGGACAGACAGCAGGGCTGTCTCAGTGACACTCCTCCTAAGACACTGGGGCATTCCAACCTAATTCTAATCAGGATTAGTATTTCCCATTGCGATTACAGTGGAAAGCTTCATGATATGATGCAATGTCTTACAGGTTGTTTTTGTAGAAATTCAGACAGAAAAAGAAAAAAAAGGGGGAAAAAAAAAAAAAAAGGAGTCTCAATTACAGGGAGGGAAGTAAGATGCTGCCATGTTTATTTCGAACAGCTGAATTTGTTACAAGTGGTTGGAAGAAGCAGGTATTTGAGAGAATAGATAAAGGTTGGTTTCTCTGCTTTGGAGCTCAACAGCCCCAGAAAAGACAGATGATGACATTTTTGATTAAATCTTTTGTGGGGTGGACTGGAGAAAGCTAAGATAAGCAGCCCATGGTAGATTCCCAACCAAAAATCTCAAGCACAATTGGTTCTTCTAAGAGGTATTACAAATATGACTACAAAAACTATATGTAGCTAAGAAAAACTAAGCAGGATTCAGAATCACTAGACTGTGCTGGTAAGAATGCTTTTGGATTTCTTTTGTAGAAAAGGAAGGCTTTCAGATGGCTTTGCTCCTTCAGATGTTACTATTTTTCCCTTCCAGGAGGGCCTTCCTGCTCCACTCTGTCCAGCACAGCACAGCTTGGAAAACCCTTCTGTTCAATGCACCACTTGCTGTTGGTGCAGCACCTTGCACTGGAGGGCAGACTGCTCAGACCCATTAGACTGTCTCTTCCATTCCAGTGCTTAATCTCTTGGATCAGTAGGTATCCCAGAAGCTGAACCCCAAATCTGTTACTGCCAATCAAGGCCTGACTGTACAGTTATACATTCTTCTTGCTTTTGCTGGAAATTTTGCTTTGACAGCGCAGAGATGAAGCACAAAACTCCATCAGTGGTAAATACGGGTAAAAAAAATGTAAATAACTAAATATTGCTTGTAATTCTATGTGTCAAGTTAGAAAAGAGATGAAAAGAAGACACGGGTCACAAAATAGACCAGAAATATTTGTCATGTGTCTGGATTGCCAGTGTAAACTCTAAGAAAAATAACAACTTTTACATTACCATTTTCCAACCATGGCAAATACAAAGGACAAGGAACAGATACTTTTCCTGGGGTTGAGTATGGCCAGCAAACAAACTGATCAAAAGTCCCATTACAATGTATCCCTGGGGAGAGAAGCGAATAGATGTTTTACAAAAAATGTTTCAAACAATGGATGATCATGAAAAACATCGTGTACCATTTTAAGAAACCTGCAAGCATGTGGATTCATTCAGTGTGGAGTAAATATCAATCCTATCATATGGAAACAACATACGATCACTTGTGCACTGGCATGAGAAGAGTATTTAGAAAATGTAACAGACTTCATGTATTCATTGCACCATGTTTGTTGAACAGGGCAGAAAAAGCTACTGTTCTTTTTGCCTTGAGTACACATAAGCAACATGTTTCACGCGCTTTACCATGAGCTAGTAGTGTTGTAGAAAATCATCCCAAGGCCTCTGTTTTCTAAATGTAACAGCTTCCAGCCGTGCTCTCAGTTGCTGTACATCAAAGACTGCTGACAAATAGAAAATATTCCACTTTTCATGACCCCTGTGACACCAGTTCTCAGCTCAGATAATCATCATCTTCTCTGGTAGTGACTTCTATTGCTCTCTCAGTAATAATGGATTGGGAGCTGGCAGCCTATCAGATCAACTCCATCAGTTTTAATCTTCACAAGATACCACATCACTCACAGGACATAAGGAGCAGACAAAACACTTCAAACTGCACTTCAACACTGCTGGTTGTACTAGTTTCTGGGTTTTCTAGTTTTCAGTCTTTCTGTCATTTTTTAGGAGAAGTTAAAGTTCTCATCTCTGAGCTTCACATCTTTCTGTCCATTGGAGGCAGAAGAATATATCCTGCTTTGTTTTCCATAATGATCAGCAATTCTTTGATGATCTTGGTGGGAAGAAGAAACAAGGATACTTGTGTACTTTCTCACTGGAATCTTTTCGGGGTGCTTTTGCTAAAACACATGGACAATTGTTAATGATTTTGCTATACCTTTGAGCTCCATCTGCCTTATGACCCACACAGTTGTTAACATTTATAGACGCATTCTTATTATTCCTTTCCCTCATATCTCATCAGAGGTACAGAATTCAGGTAGCTATGACAAGTATGAATTATGTAGGCTGACAGGAGAAAAGTAGTTTTTACATTATTCCTTGAAAACTGGACTTCTGAGTATGTATAGTTCTTTTACAAACCACTGTCTTCTGACATCTTGCTATGTGTCACTGCTTTTTGGCTTCCTGGGTCATTTGGGTTGTTTGCAATTGCCACTTCCCACCACAACACACTCTGCTTTTGCATTTTGCTAAGAGCTGTATCTGACAAACAGCCACAATCAGGTCGAGAGCTTGTGGGTAAAAATCAAGGATTGGTCCGGTAAAGGGCATCTAGTGGTTGGGGTCTGCTACAGGCCACCTGATAAGGAGGAGCCTGCTGACAAGGCCTTCTTGCTTCAGCTGCAGGAGGTGTGACACTCGTGGGCTCTTGTCCTATTGGGGGATTTCAATCACCCCAGATATATGCTGAGAGAGCGGCATAGTGGGTGGCAGACAATCCAAGAGATTCCTGGAGTCTGTTAAGGATAACCTCCTGGTCCAGGTAATAGATGGGCCAACCTGAGGTGAAGCCTTACTGGACCTGGTGCTCACTAATGCAAAGGAGAGCATTAGAGAGGTTAAGACTGGAGGCAGCCTGGGCTGTAGTGACCATGCCTCTATGGAGTTTCTGATCTTGAAGAATGCGGGCCTGGCAAAAAGCAGAGTTAGTCTCCTGTGCTTCAGGAGAGCAAAATTCCGGCTGCTCAAGGAACTGCTGAGTGGGATCCCCTGGGAAACTGTCCTTAAGGGATGGGCACAGAGCAGAGATGGCAGCTCTTTAAGGGCACCCTTCTGAGAGCACAACGGCTCTCCATCCTCCAGCAGAAGTTGAGCGGGGAAGGCGGGTGACTGTCATGGCTGTGCAAGGACCTGCAGCTTAACCTGAGAGAAAAGAGGGAAATGTACAGAAGGTGGAAGCAAGGCTGTGTATCCTTGGAGGAATACAGGGCTGTTCTCCATGTGTGTAGAGATAGGATTAGGAAAGCCAAGGCGCAGATGGAGCTGAACTTGGCAAGAGATGTGAAAGATAACAAGCAGGGGTTCTACAGGTACACAGGCAGGAGGAGACAGGCCAAGGAGAGTGTTCCTTTGTCTTCCTCTTGTCTTCCTCTGGTGAAAGGTAACAGGGAGCTGACTTCCTCGGACGTAGAAAAAGCTGAGGTACTCAGTGAGTGCTTTGCCTCAGTCTTCATGGGTGATCAGGCTTCCCATGTCTGCCAGGACCGTGAGTCTCTAGGTGAGAGTGTGGGGAGTGGTTTCTGTCCCACTGTAATGGTGGAGCAAGTCCTCCTCATGAAACTGAACACATTCAAGTTTATGGGGCCAGATGATATCCATCCTAGGGTTCTGAAAGAGGTAGAAGCCTGATGTGGTTGCCGAGCCGCTCTCCATCATATTTGAAAAATCATGGCTGTCTGGTAAAGTCCCCGGTGACTGGAAAAAGGAAATATTACTCCAATTTCTAAAAGAGGTAGAAAGAAAGACCTGGGGAACTACAGGCCGGTGAGCCTCACCTCTGTGCCTGGGAAGATCATGGAGCAGATCCTCCTGGAAGCTGTGTTAAGGCACATGAGACAAATGATTCGAGACAGCCAGCATGGCTGTACCAAGGACAGATCGTGCCTGACCGATGTGGCGGCCTTCTATGATGCAGTGACGGCGTTGGTGGATGGGGGAAGGGCAGTGGATGTCATTACCTGGACTTCTGCAAGGCCTTGGACACGGTCCCTCGCCACATCCTGCTCTCTAACTTGGAGAGTTCTGGATTTGAAGGATGGGCTGTTGGATGGGTAAGGAATTGGCCGGCTGGTCACAGCCAAAGGGCTGTGATCAATGGCTCTGTGTCAGGGTGCAAGCCAGGCACAAGCAGTGTCCCTCAGGGGTCGGTGTTGGGACAGACAGTTGCTCTTCAACATCTTCATCAATGACAGACGATGGCATCCAGTGCACCTCAGCAAGTTTGTGATGACACCAAGCTGAGCGGTGCAGTCGAAACACTGGAGGGAAGGGAAGCCATCCAGAGGGACCTGGACAGGCTGGAGAAGTGGGCCCATGGGAACCCAATGGGGTTCAGTAAGGCCAGGTGCAGGGTGCTGCCATTGGGTGGGGGCAATGCCAGGTATTGATACAGACTGGGGGAAGATGTGCTTGAGAGCAGCCCTGCGCAGAAGGACTTGGGGTTCTGGTGGGCGAGAAGCTGGCCATGAGACAGCAGTGAGCGCCTGCAGCCCGGAAGGCCAGCTGTGTTGTGGGCTGCATTAAAAATACACAAGCAGTTCTGTGAAAAGAGATAAACCCCAGTTGCTTTGCCTCCTTTGTTTTGTGTTTTTGTCCACTATGGCTCAGTTTCTAAAGGAGGAATGGGAGTCATCTTCTTTTCCTTTAATGACACATTATCTTATGCTTAGTGAAATTTCCAGAAATAATTGCTTGTCTTCCTTCAGGCTGAAAAAGGGAGTGAACACAGGTCTCCTTCATCCAAAGGACCTCTCAGCTAGTAGTCTGTAGTCTGTGATGTATCACAGCAGTAGCTCAGGACCAGCTGTTCTATGGCTTGTTTCAATATAAAGTAGATGAGGACAAAGGCAGCCATTTACTTCATGACTGCGTATTTGTAGGTCTAGTTACAAAACTGGCTGTTTACATTTAAAACTTAAGAGTCACACACTTCTGTGAATCAAATAACATTATATGAATATTTGCATTTTTAGCTATGCTGCTTAACATATCTTTATTTGCTGTTTGTACACTTACCAGTACCTACAGTTGTTTCCTGTAGCATTTTTAGGCATTCCTGTTTGTATTTGTTCCATCCAGTAGTTGTTTTTTCCAGCAGAGATCCTTTGGCCTGTGAGTAAAAAAAGTCTTACATGGAGAAAACCAGCTAGTCTAGTGGTCTTTTAGAGGACAAGTTTCCATCAACTAACAAATTTAAGAGGTGAGGAGAGGAGTGAGGAAGCAAGGAGCAGAATGGAGGCAAGTTTGGTAAGCAGGGAGAAAAAGACCTCTCTTCCCTGGGAAGAAGCTTCTACAGTCATTTCATTCCAAGGTCAGCTAATTGTTCTCATGTATTTACATTTCTCCTTCTGCTGGATTAACTTAGGAATTTGATTGATAACAACTTTGTGGGCTGTTTATTTTTATAGTATTTTTGAAGATAATCAAGCTTACTTGATTGAATACTTCAGTAATAATTTGAATAAAAGTGAAATGAATAAACAGTAATATTTAGCTATTGTTGTCTCTTCCCCACTTCATTTGCACTCCATTTCAGCAACTGAAAGGCCACTTCTTCCTCTAATACAGCAAACATGCCATAAATGCATTTCTATTCCTCAGCTTTCTGGAGAACTTACAATCATTCATTCTACTTTTTCTTGCCTGTCTCCACTAACACTGTGTTGTTTTTGCCTGGGCAGGGGACAGTTTTACAAAATGAAATGGAGTATGAATGCTTATTTTTATCCATAAAAGAGTTTTCTCCATTTAAAACATCTCATACAAATGAATATTTCTTTTTTTCATATTAGATATTTTCAAACCTGGAAGCTTGGATCTTCCTGTTGCAGTTATCATTAGGGAGAGATCAAAAAGGCCTTTAAATTCTGAAAAACTAGATTTCTGAAGAATACAATCTAGAATAACTGCTTTGATCTTATCTGCTCAAAGAGAATACAACTAAAAGCACTACAAAAAACAATCTCTTATTAATGCAGTGCAGTACAGGCTTGACTTCAGATTTATGCAGTTTGATGACAGCAGATTCTTTGGAGTGCCTGAAAAATCAATTCTCCTCTCAGCTGCTCCCTGCAGAGTTGCATTTATAAGATATGCACAGTACTGCAACTGCAGAAACACATAGATCGGAAAAGATCTTCAAGATCAAGCTTTTCAAATGGCTATTCACCCTTCCTGTGAAGAAACTGGTTGGCAATCCTGCACATAGCTGATCATAGCTGAGAACACATAGCTGAAACTAGATGATCATTATGGTCCTTTTCAACCCAGGCCATTCTGTGATTCAATGATTCTATGACATTGGCTTTCTTGGCCATCTGGGCACACTGCTGGCCCACATTCAGGTGGCTGTTGATCAATAACCCTGGAACCTGAGATGCACCAGAAAACTGATACGGAGAAAAGAAAGAGACCTAGCTATTATCTTCAATGGGTGAAATTTGAGATGTAGATATATAGTTGCTAGTAAAGAGAAGAAGAAAAAAAAAAAAAGCTAAGATAAAATCTGCTATAAATTAAAAGCTACATTAAAAAAAAAGTAGTAATTCCCAGTGACGAACAGATGTTAATAATGATTTCACATGAAGTGACTGCTGCGCCGAGGATGAGGCGGGCATCTGTGGCAAAAATCTTGTTAATGTAAGAATTACTGTTATCCTGAGAGGACTTGTAATTTTAACTTTTTCTCTTTAAATATCTGTCTTTCTGATTCATCTTATTCATACAATGCTCTCCTACTGCAGAGGCCTTCAGAGAGCTACTTGATAAATGCTGTTTGGGAAAGGAATGGGTAAAACAGAAGAGCTAAATGCAAAATTGCTTTGCATCCTATCAGATTTGGGCTGTTTAAGTAATGCCCAACTAGTACAATAGCAGTAGAGAAAGAATATTGCTTGCAGCTCAGTATCAGCATGATACTTTGATCATTATTTATCCAGTGTAAGAAACGTTAGTCAAAGCAATCTCTATATAATATGCCATTTGGTCTTCTGAACACCGGGGCTTTCAGAAGCCAGAGGCAGGCAAGTAGTCCAAGAACAGTGTCAGTGTGTGTCACCAAAACAGAACAATTCATTACTGGATGAAAATGTTACATACTCTAATGACAAAATTGTGAAGACAATCCAAACAAAAGTTAAAAAAAAATAATAATAATTCTTGCACCAAATAATTTTCAGCTCCCCAGGGAAAACCCATTTTCTTTCACCTGGATTAGACCCTTTTCAGAAAGCACCTTTCACATGTGTACAGTGGTACTTGTCTGAGCCAGATAATGTGCTAAGAGCTGAAATAAACCAGGCTGCCCTATGGTGTGAACTTCACCTGTAAGCTATTTTTTGAACACAAGTTTACCAAAAAGCAAAGAAAAGTAGTATTTATGCATGTTCAAAACAGAACAACAGTGAATGTTATCTAGTTGTTTTTGAAACCACCCATTCTTGCATGGTTTGGCTGTGCAAGATGTTGTTTGCTCACTGCTCTGCTTTGAGACTCTCAACTAATTTCCAGACACCCTACTTTAAATTCCAGGCAGCAGAAAGTCTATAATTTTTCTTCATCTGATGGGCTTGCAAGATAAGGAGAGAATATTTACAGCAGCCATGAGAAAAGAATGCATGTTTCCAAAATACAAATCTTCTTGACATTTCCCTCATCTGGGCCTCAAAATGCTGAGAGCCAGGGGAGATTCTTCAGATACTCCTTGGTCAGTGAACCTCATTTAAAGAAGCAAAAGATATGATGACGCACTTGTAGAAAGGACTGCTTGATTTAAGGATAGCACTTCTGTTTCTAATAAACAAATGCATTAAACAGCTAAAGAAACACAGAGAAAGCCTCATGTTGACTACCTGGCAGCTTGTTTGGTTCATTTTCTGGAGAAATTGCTGAGAATCATCCATGAAGAATTTTAGTTAACAAGAATGAGGAGCACTCCAGGTACAAATGACAATTTCACTTCTTTCTGGAATTGTCAGTCTCTGCAGAGTAGAGCCTGTGAACACTTCAGTTCATTTCACTTCAGTTCATTGACACTGAAATGTTACCAAACCTTCCTGGAGAGGTCTTTCCATTCCAAACATTCATTTGGTTCGCTCAGGTGCACAAAGCTGCACAAAGATGACCCCACTGTTTAAAAATACATTGGATGCAGTAGATGGCACTGCTAAAAGTTCCCCTCTAAGAAGTAGGTTATTATAATAGACCTCCAAGTTTGCTAACAGAATAATTGTAATCTACCTATTATTTTCATAAATGACTACTGTGTAATAAGGTTTGCATCTCTTTAATTTCTTTAAACTGTAATGACACAGAAGTCACAGGGAGATTTTCAGTTAACACTGACTGGCGCTTTGTTTGAGGCATCCTTTGGATTCAAGGACTCTCAGAAAACTGAGATCTGCATCAGTGCATCAGTTCTCTATCCATTTACATGAGAGAAGCTCTAGATTCAGAATATGTGTCTCTTGGTAATTTTTTTTTTTTTTTTTTTTTTAAGAAAAACAGAAAAAAAAGAGCAAAATTTCAATATTTACAGCACATTCACACATAATTGTAGCACAAGCGGTTAGAAGTAACAATTTCAGTGTAAAGTAAACCTGTTCAGCTGTGCTCATTGCCTTGTATACTTCTTTCACAGATTATTTCCCTAAATTTGCATATGATTTTTATTTGGATGAATTGGAATTAACTTCAACACATTAATATATGTATCAGTTTAATTTACTGAAATAAAGGTATTTATTCCTAAATAAATAAATAAAATGGAAAAAAAAAAAAAGAAGAAAATTTCCCTGAGGAGATTTACACTGAGGTATTCTGTCCTTAAACTCTGAGAACTCTCACAAATTTCAAGACAGTACAGATGAGGAAGAAAGCTTTTAATTTTTCATAGATTTAGAATAAGAAAGAAATGACTATTTTGCTAGAGCACTCCAAGAATTAGAAGTAACAATACTAAATAGTTTTGCTAGCCTGATGTTAGAAGTTGAGTTGCAGAACAAAACCAGTAACATCAGCTTTCACAAATATGAGAAGCAATGCCTTCCCTTTGTATATTTCTAAAAGGCTAAATGATAGCACATTTAGGTAAAATGTAAATTAAATAAAAAATAAAAAAAATGTAAATTAAGCAACATTGGGATTAGAATATGACTGGAAACAACAGTAGAAAATAAAGAATTTTCACAACATTATTGATATATTGGTAGAAAACTCAAAAAATAAAACTAGTTTAATTATCAATGTCATTATGAAAATACACTGCAAAAATAAATGCAAACATGGTTTATTCACTGTATGAACCAGCTTTTATAGAGTAAAATTGTAATATATCACCTACTCTGAGTGAGTTATAACACGTAATTCTATTGTTTCTCAGACAATGTTTCTTCTTATAACTAATTTTAACAAACATTAATTGTCATGTCAAATGTTTTTGAAACAAACATGCAGGGAAGGTTAAAATGCTGTGTGATATATATTCACTTTTATATTGATAATTATTAATTATGGAATTGGCTTACCTGTTTCACTATAAATAATATCATGACTGAGCTGGCAGGTATGGGAGATATTCCGGACCAGATCCGCATGCTGGAGCAGAGACCAAAAAGTGTAATCATGCCCATTTTAATAAATTTGTTCCCCGTATGCTGCTGTATCACTGTACAATAGACCAGTTGTATCACTTGTTCCTGTAACAGATTTAAAGCGTTTTCTTTTATTCTTCTGTTTCAAGAATCTTCTTAGATATAAACCAGGAAGTCTACTAAAATGTCTAGACTTGATGGTCTCCAGCTATGTCTTGCTTTTTTATTTTTTTTTCTGATTAAAGTCACAGAGAATTTACTCTAAACTTCACATGAAGTCTGTTTACTGTAGCTTGTTCTTTAGCCAATAAGAAATCACAAAACTATTAAAACATTAAGAAGCTGATCCTATTCCCTTGAAACTTCATGGGAATTTTGCCAGTGACTTTGTGAGAATGTAATACAGTTCCTAAATATATACATACGTTTATGCACACCTCATGAAACTATAAAAGGGTGACCTAGAATGTAGAAAATCCGTAAAAGCTTGCTGAATAAAGTAGGTTGGCAGGAAGAAGCTCGGTCTCAGTAACAGGCATTTTGATCCACCCTAATCAATACTTTGTCAAACACGCACAGTCAGTGCAGGATCAAGGCCAGTCAAAATGTATAAAAACTGACGTAGTCAGCAGTTAAAGTTTTACAATAATTCTTTTCATATTCAGTGTATATGATACACAAATGTAGGAAATTAAAAATATTTACAATACAAAGATTTTAGGGCCTAGCTTCTACTTTCCACAGCATGGAGACTCAGGTGGATGTGTCCTTCTGCACTTCCAAGAGAAATTAGACGTGCAGCTATTTGTATAGAAGTTCTCCCTGAATTCATGGGTATCCCCTCCAGCTCAGCCAGATAAGTGACAGAGATGCACCACTGAGATTGTAGAACCAGTGGCAACTTGGTCTTCATTGCCATGCATAGGCTTAAAGCAAACTGCAGTGCACTGTTTCAATCTGTTCAGCAGCATGTCTGACTCTCTCCCTGCCCAAAATTTGGCCTAGATGAATGAAAAAATAGAAGGGCATGATGTATAACCGTATCTCATCTTTACTTGAGGCTTGGATGTGGTACAGAAATTTTCTGGGAACAAAATACAAAAGTGCTCTGGAGACAAGCATTTCAGGGTTGAAATGGACCCACCCCACTCTCAAGAGGTCTGTCAGAAAGGACATGAACTGCCTTCATTGTCTTGTCTGGGGCCAGGGATTGTTCTCCTGAGCACACATCCTCCCCAAGCCACACCTACAGGCAATTCTGAGGACGAAGGAGAGGCATCTATAAACCCCTGTCACAATTGCTCAGCTGCGTATTATTACAAGGGATAAATACAGATTTTCTCATTGCTGTGTAAGATCAGCTCTGCGGTAGGCTACAGACAGCAAACCCAAACAGTGCTCTGGCGTTGGAGCTCTTTTGAGACCACCATAAGAAATGTCTCAGTGCTAAAGATATCCTGGGCTTGCCTGGGCTGCACGGAGTGATGAGGAATTGTCTTGGGCAGTATCTGTGTAGGTCTCTGTGAAAGTAATTCTTCCTACTTATTTTCATGGAAACTGAAACAATGAGCACGGTAACTCTAAAAAAGCAAACTCTCAGCTACAAAACACTGTTTTTCAACAGTCACTACCGTTGGCTGTGCATTTTCACCAACAGTGAACAAGAGCCTGCACATGTCACTGTCAGCCCTGCTGAAAAACACCACCCACTGTGCTCACATCCACTGTTTGGTCTCCGTAAAAGTTAAGAAAGCACTGATGAATGTTAACGAGTGCAATTTTTTTTCCATGTGGAGGAATCCAGTTGCACAGCTTTGCTTTAAACACACTTTAATGTCAGGGTCCAATTTGTTGGAGTTCTCCTCTGCTGCCATCTGTCACAGGACAACAAGTAATGAAATACTGGTGGGAAGGTTCAACTTCTACTGGCATCTCACCAACATCTGCCTCTGATGTCATCGATCAATATCATAAAACAGGAGGCGTTACTTTCAGAGCCCTTGTAAAGTAAATAACATAGTTAATGTATATAAGTAGCAAAACATATTTAAACTTTTAATATTTTTACTAAAACGTTAAAGAAAAGAGAGCAACAACACTGTAAAGCTAGTGGAGTATTTGACCCCATCACTGTGAAACTAATTCATGTCTGATTCAATGGCAGTGGTTGCAATTCTATGAGAGACCTCAAGGTGTTTGCCAGAGGTTTTTGATGAAATTTTACTCTTCCTGTACTTCATCATTGACAATAATTGTTCACAAATGTGTGCACTTTCAAGAAGTGATGACATGAATAAGACATGATTGTGATGTGAGGGTTATCTTTCTCTGGTAAGACAGATCTTATAACAGTCTGCTAAAGAGACATAATCAATTTTTGAGTTGAAACTCTGATTGCAGTTCTATGCGCTTCATTTGAAAATTTGTCAATAATGCATTTATGTCAACTGAAAATGGAATCACAAATATAAACTGATGTTTTTTTTGTCAATTTTGAAACCTACTCTCAAATCCCCTTATCAAAACTGAAAACAAGGCTGCGTATTTTTTTGCCGATTGCAGGACTGTGTTTAGTCAATGTATCAGAATGCATAAAGTTGTTTGCCGTAACTTGAGTTAGCACTGCACTGCATCCTCCCTGTGTCCTGGTTCCAGCTGACATAATAACACCAGTGTGTGGCTGTTCCATGCAATAGGTGTGTGCCCAGGGCCACTCTGTGGGGCCAAGCTGCTGCCATGATGTGCAGGACTGGGGGCATCTGCAGGACAGGCTGTGCTGGGCTGTGTGAGGCTGCAGGCCACAAGTCGGACATGCCCAGCCTATAGATGAGGAGAGCCCAGCCCAGACCTTAGATGAGGAGATCTGCAGGATCTTCTGCAATGCAACCTTGTGTCTCACAGGAGCTGATTTATAGCTGGCCCCAGCAGCTGAGGCTCTGTTTTCAGTTTTCAGCTTCCAGAAGTTGTTTGCAACTGCTCATCTTCTAAAGTCATCTGAAACTTATGTTGATGCTCTGTGGTCTCTCTTCAGTCTCTTTTTTAGAATTAACACTCCCAAGGGCTCAGTCAGTGAAGGAGACCAATGTTAAGGTATCTTTATATCTGATTGCTGCTGCTACACCAAGGACCAGCTGTGTCTGCTTCTGTTTTCCTCACACCATCATTCATGGTCTTGCTGCTTTTGTACTTCTTGATGCCTGTATCAGTATCAGTTTCTTTGAGGTGCTCTATCAAAAGTATTATCCAAAATGTGTTAAACAAGTGTCTTCCTTTCTAGAAGTGTTTATAATATGATTTCTAGGTGATCTTCCTGTGCAAGCAAGGGATATATAGTAAACAGCATTTTCCATCTTGATTATACACTTCCCTTTTCCAGATCAGATAATGATATTTCAGAAGAGTTTCAGTACAAGGAGTAGTGCTGCAGAGATAAGAACCCCTGTGTTTGTACACAGAACACAATAATATTTGTGCTGTTCAAGTTGTCCAATACAATGATTGTCAAATAATCTGTAAACCAGTCTCATAAAAAAGAACAATTGTATGGAACCACTGTGTTTTAAGATAGGTCCTGCCTTTGCTTCAACTTTACAGCTGACCAAAAGACAAACTCTATTTGGAAATGCAGATAATTATTGAATGATAACTGCTAATATACAGGAGAGGAAGCTACCTGACAAGCAACCTTGTTCATATCTTTCAGCTTAGCCATTCAACAGAACAGTGAATATTAAAAAGTCTGCAAGGCCAAGGAATGGAAAACCTTAGGCCTTAGATTGTACTGTAAATGTGCTCAAGGAGCTTTGCTGAATGTGCATCAATCCCATAGCACTACTTAAAGTGGAAGTCCTCTGACAGTAGGATTAAACAAATGGTGTATGAGGATGCACTTCCACCTCTGCCTGCAAACCGAGTGAGGACTAGGCACTTGTGCAGCGTTCTTCAGGGACTGCTCCTCATTCCTTTCAGCAAAAATGGTGGGAAATGCTGTAGTGCTGTGAAATTCTCTCATCTTAAGTATTTCTGTAAGATTGACAGCTGTATTCAATTTAATTCAATGCTCTGTGTTACAGGAGCATTTGGAACTGCAAGATTAATTTTATTTATTTATTAGGTGATAAATGTAGAGGCTTCATCAGTTTGACTCCTCATGCTGTTTGAGATACCGAGTGTATTTTGTTTCTTTAAATATTTTGTTTTTCTGATTACATACCAGTATGTTTTACAGGCTGCCCAGTGAGGCTGTGGATTCTCCTTCTCTGAAGATATTGCAGACCCGCCTGGATGCTGAGCTGTGCAGCCTGCTGTAGGGAGCCTGCTTTGCAAGGGCGTTGGACTCAATAACTTTAGAGGCCCCTTCCAAACCCTACTTCTAATTCTGTGACTCTGATTCTGAGATGCTTCTTATACTTCTGTATTCTTTGTGCCTTTAGTCCTGTGACTGTTGGGCCAAATGATAATTCATTATCTCTTCTCCTCGTATTTCTTTCACAAGATGCTAGTACAAACCAGCACTGCTCTAAATCTTTAATCTCTCCTACCACATGATTTCTGATTACGCCTCTGTCTCTGCTTTCTGCCTTAACTGCTAAGCTGGTGCAGTTCACTGAGAGGAGTGAAGATCAAGATAGTAAATACAGGCAGGTGTTTCACAAGGCAGATATATATGTAGCTTTGTAAATGGTTGTTTCAGAACAGATACGACAGTCCCAGAGGATGCCAGTTTCAGCCCCAGGCACATACAGACGGCAGAGAGCCTCAGCAGCATTTTTTCTCGGTTTTCTCTCTTTAGTTTTCTCTGTTACAGCATTCAGTAGCAATTACTGGTGTGAAGGGACAAGAAAAGTTGCCAAACCTTTCTGCATAGGACAGGCCAAAGGGGATAACTGCATCCGCTTTAATAGCCCTGATGCCAACAACAGCAATGCTGTGCAATATATATGGGAGATGGGAGACGACAAGTTTGTTGACCGAAAGTTTCATGCTGGGATTTGGTATTCATGTGAAGAAATTATAAATGGGGAAGGTGAGTAAAAGCACATAAACTTACTTTAGAAAATACTCAGAGTTTTTTTCTACTTATTTGATGTCAATTTCCTCTTTGCTGCAATATCATGTATGTATTTTAAAAGAAAAAGTAGCCTTTAAAAGTTTATCTTCTCCAGGAAAGAGAATCTTAGAGGATACTCCCCAGTCAATTTCTAAAAAAATTCTAATAAATTCTGTGAAGAATTTTGAAGTGACAGAGATAGTGAAGATCAAGGTTTGTTTGTTTTTTTTTTTTTTCACTCATAACAGGGAAGTGTTTTATTTTCTGATGTTGTTACTCTCTTAGGCAAAAATAACCCCCATCACGGATGGGCCAGGATCTTTTCAATGTTGTACAATGACAGAACAAGTGGCAATGGGAACAAACTGCAACACAGAGAGTTCCAAACAAATACGAGGAAGAAGTTCTTCGCAGTGAGGGTGGGAGAGCCCTGGAACTGGCTTCCCAGAGAGCTGGTGGAGATCTCTACTCTGGAGATGCTCACCTGGGTGCCTACCTGAGCAAGCTGCTGCAGGGAACCTGTTTTAGGGGATATTGAACTAGACGGTCTGCAGAGGCCCAATACAAACCCTACAGTTCTGTAGGTTATATTTGCCTTGAATGATTGCCCCGTAGCAACATAAAAACCGTAGCATGCATTTTTAAAGATATTTAGATTTTCATTTTACCAGTTAAATCTGAGACTAAGGTTTTTTCATGGATTTCCTCTTAAGTACAGGCACTCTTACTTTCTTACTGTGATCTCACAATACATAAACCAAAGCAGAATAGTATTATTTTTCACCCTCCTAAAAAAGAATTTGGAATTCATGAATCCTGAGTGCTGGCATCTAACTGTGTTTTACTCTGACTACATAAGTATCAGTAGAATGGGAAGAAATTGCTGTGTAAGAGAACCTCTAATTAATTTTGGATTTTTGTATATGGGAACTGTTTAACTGATTCAAGAAATAGGGTTTATATTGTGAATTTAGGTTGAAGTTAAATTTTTCTTATTGTTTAGGAGTGCCAAATTGAACAAAACTAGGAATCAAGTCAGCTGTCATCTGCAACAAAATACAAGTATTTTAGAAGTTGTATGTTCTGAGGAGTGAGTTCTGCCAAAAGATCTTGTATATTACGCAATTTCAAAGGGGTTAATGGCAAAGATCAGAGCAAAAAGCATCTCTCACTCAAAAGAAAACAACAAAAAAAGACCATTTTAGGTAGAGATTGCTGTAGATACTGGGTTCGTAGGATTGATCTGTTGGCTGTGGCTGTTTTTGTTCATACTTGGTGCAGTTAGTAGCTAAAAAAGCCCATCCTCTGTTCTCAGACCAAAATTAATTCTAAGAGCTCTGTTCAAAGCATCTACATGGAAATCAGGAGGTCACATGGGTTTGAAAATCAGATCTTACAGATAAAAAAGCAGTCAAGCTTCGAAGAAATTAGTGTGAGCAACAGCCTTGTTGCTGCAGATGTCTTTACCAACTTTAGTGATTCTGTAATTCATAAGCTGGATGAAATAGTCTTTCAAATTAACTGTTAATTTTGAATTTCTGGCTTTCACAGCTGTAACTTTTTGGAAAACACTTCAAAGGCTTTCTCTAAGTCTCCCATAAAAGAGTAATACTATTTCTGCTCTGGAACAGGCTGGGACAATCTCCAGGAGTTGATCCACTTATCAGAGACTATGTACAAACTCCCATTAAATAAAGGTTTTCCTGATCATCTTAATTTGTGCTTCTATGGTATTTTTTTTTTTTTTTTTTTTTTCTGTTGAACTGTTCCCTTAGGCCATTACAGAATACCAAATAATGCAGATTTTTCTTTTAAAATTATTATTATTATTTTTAGGTGAGAAATGTAGAAGTTTTATCAGTTTGACTCCAGCTTCTGATCGAGGTAAATATGCAATTTTCTTTACATAAATCAAACATTCTTGATCAGATTTACCAATATAATAAATATAATGTATTTTGATTTGAAAAAAAAAAATCCCATATAGTTTTAATTGTTTATTTAGTGTTTCCACTTCAAAATGAAGCCCACATGACTTAAAGTATATGTCAGTGTCCTCTGAAATTACTCCTTTTGAATAGCAACTTAAAAAAAAAAAAAAACGTATTTTGAATAAGGATACTGGAAATTAGGATTTCTAAAGCTTTTCTATCTCTTTCCTCATATCTTCAAATTCAGTCAAGAACTCTATGGATGACACTGTGCTACCTTGAAAGGCCACAGGCCTTTCATATGTATAACATATGTATAACATATGTATAACATATATGTATAACATGATTGTTAGTATATATGTATGCACATATACCTGGTGTATATATATATATCTATGAAATCACTTTGTGGATACACAATCAGATGTCAAAGGACACAATAACTTGTTTTTAAGAAGGTTTGTATGGTTCAATGACCAGCTGTTGGCCAGTTCCTGCTACTGTCTGGATAGAAGAGGACTCTGCCTGCTCCTGCCTGTGTGACATTAGCATATGAACAGAAAAACAGTGATGTAACTAATAGATAACTAGAGAGAGATGAACTAGCAGGTGAATCTCAGTGAAAACTGGAGATTGTCTGTGCACATGAAGGCATCTCTGTCCAGATAGAAAGAGCTTGTCTGGTGAAAGACTGTAAACTAAAAGGGAATATGTTTGTTAATGATTGGGGTAACTATTCAGTGTAAAAACTGTACTTTCCCACCTTGAACTGTGAGATTCTGACACGTACAGAAGAAACATGCAAAAGCTCATTCACTACATGGCCAGTACAGGAATAATAAGTTAGGGCAGCTATTGAACTTGAAGTCTTCTTCTTGATGTTAAAATAGCATTCTCATAGCCTCTAACTTCAGGTGAAGTCAGGTAAGGTCCCAGATGACTGGAGGAAGGGTCACATCACTCCCATTTATAAGAAAGGGAGCAAGGAGGACCCAGGAGCTGCAAGCTGGTGAGTCTCACCTCTGTGCTTGGGAAGATCATGGAACAGATAGTCCTGGACAGCCAGTACAGCTTCACCAGGGGAAGGTCATGCTTAAGCAATCTGGTGACCTTCCATGATGGAGTGGTGGACAAGGGGAAAGTGGCTGATGTCATTTAGCTGGACATGAGCAAGGCCTTTGACATGGTCCCCCACCACATCCTTATCTCCAAATTGGAGGGATGTGGATTTGATGGGTGGACCACCTGATGGATAAGAAACTGGTTGAAAGGCTGCAGACAGAGGATGGTCATCAATGGCTCTGTGTCCAGGTAGAGGCCAGTAACGAGTGGCGTCCCCCAGGGGTCTGTCTTGAGACCGGTGCTCTTTAACATCTTCATCAATGACATTGATGATGGAATCGAGTGCAGCCTCAGCAAGTTTGCTGACAACACCAAGCTGAGTGGTGAGGTTGAGGAGTTGGTGCAGGGGAAGGAAGGGATGCCATTCAGAGGGACCTGAAACAGACTTGGAAGGTGGGCTCGGGTGAACCTGATGAGATTCAACACATCAAAGTGCAAGGTTTTGCATTTGGGCCAGAGGAATCCCAGGCATTCATACAGACTGGAAGGAGTGGTCCTTGAGAGCAGCACTGCAGAGAAGGATCTGGTGGTCCTGATGGATAAAAAACTGAACATGAGCCAGCAGTGCGCTCTTGCACCTGGGAAAGAAAATGGTATTGTGGGCTCCATCAGAAGAGGAGTGGCCAGCAGGGACAGGGAGGTGGTTGTCCCTCTCTACTCCGCTCTTCTGAGGCCCCATTTGCAGTGCTGCATCCAGGTCTGGAGCCCTCAGTACAAGAAAGACAGGGAGCTGTTGGAGAGGGTCCAGAGGAGCCACAAAGATGATCATGAGGCTGCAGCACCTCCCCTATAAAGACAGGCTGAGGGAGAGCTGGGCTTGTTCAGCCTGGAGAAAAGAAGGCTTCTGTGTGACCTAAAGGGAGCCTATAAACAGGAAGGGAGTCAACTCTTTGAAAGGGTAGATAACAGCATAACAAGGGGAAATGGTTTTAATTTTAGGGAGAGAAGATTTAGGTTGGATGTCAGGGGGAAATTCTTTACAGATATTGGTAAGGTGCTGGAACAGCTGCCCAGAGAGGTTGTGGATGCCTCGTCCCTGGAGGTGATCAGGGCCAGGTTGGATGGGGTGCTGGGCAGCCTGGTTTAGCATTAAACGTGGAGGTTGGTGGCTCTGCATGTGGCAGGGGGGGTTGGAGATTCATGATCCTTGAGGTCCCTTCCAACCCTGGCCATTCTGTGATTCTGTGATTCTGTGACTTTTTGTTTAAAGTTATGTAAACAATATGAATGAAGAGAAAACTGGTGAAAATATAAATGACTTTTTTATCATCTCTCACTATTTATTTGATTTTACAGGAGTTTTATGGCTGTCTATTGTAGCAGAGCTACTCTATAACATTTTGCTTCTGACTGGAGTCGTTCTCATGTCAGTAGAAATGTGCTACTACAGTACCGTCATTGATGGACTAAAGATCAACGCCTTTTCTGCAGTAGTCATCGTACTAGCAGGTACAGTTTAGGATCTCAATTTATTACATCCAGAAAATTTAACATTGATAGGGTTCAAGCTGAAGATTAATAACAGTGTGTAGGATTGTGAACTACTACTGTATTTACTGAGACATTAATAACACACTGCTGTTTTTTTTAATTATTATGGTCATTTCTTAATATGTTTTTTTTTAAGCTTAGTTTATATTTGTACTTGCTATTTTTAATGTCAGTGTTTTAACTTTATTATTTTGAATTTGGCTGTCTGATTGTCAAAGAAAAAAAAACCCTTCAAAATAACTTGATTTTCTATTTCCAATATGCTGAGGATAAAATGAGCAATAGTCAAATCAAAATGGCAGTTATGAGAGGGAATAAAATGGAATCACATAATTTTTAATAGAAAACAATCATAAAAATTGTGTTTAATTTTCTGCATTTTATTTCTTAATCCAATGCTATCTCATAATAGCATCCTAGACAAATTCAATTCAGAAGAAACTTCGAATGGTCCCCAGTCCAACCCCTGTTCACAGCAGGGTTACCTCCAAGATCTGAGCAGCTTGCACTGCAGGGTTACATCCTTCTGGTTCTAAAAGACCTGCAGCCTTCCTTGGAAGTTGATTCCACTGCTTGTCTGTCCTCATGGTGAAGAACTTAATATATCACTACCTGAGCAATGTGGTCGGAGTTTATCATTGACCATGCAATGAGAGCTGGAGATCAGACCAGAGCCTTCTGAAAGTGTCTTGCAGTCTGAGCTACTCTGCCATTCTATGTCAAACACTGAGGAAATTTGAGCTAAAATTACTGGTAACATGCACAGTGTTTCATAGTTACTCATTTTAAAGCTAGAAGCAATATAACTTCTTGTGGAACACATACCGCTATCTTTCACACTGTCATGAGTCCAAAGTGATTCATATTAGTTGAGGGATATCTTCTAAAAACACAGATTGCAAGTCAAATACATGGGCAGATAGCAAAGCCTATGTCTTTATGAATTTATCTCAAGATGCTTTTCTTTGAAAAAATTGGGTTTGATCCTAATTCTAGTATTTGTGGATTTAGTGTTCTTGTATTTGTGATTGCTGTGCTTTTCTTCATGAATTAAAGATTTTTCATTATACTTTTTCCTCTTAAATATAATCACATATTTAATGCATTTGCCATTATCATTTGTTGGATAAGTAAACTAAGATTTTTAAAAGCCCAGTCATTATAATGGGGAAAAAAATATTTTTCTTCCTTTCTGAAGATGCCTTTGCATACTTGAAGATATCTATTTTGTCTCAGATTCATCTTCTCTGAAAGAAATAATAGAAAAACATGCCACATGACTTCACGTATATTTCTACTGCTTTTGATCACTCTTGTTTCTCCAGGTATTCTCTTGCTCAACTTTTCTGCAGTTCTCCTAGAGGAAAGTGCTTAATGCAGACAATGGGGTGACCTTCCAAAAACTTTAGAAGACAGTGATTTACAATCCAGATAGTAACTTCTGGAACACTGTAGTTTTAGTTCAGCGTTCAAGTTAGGCCCAAATTTCCTAATCTTTTCCTGACAGATATTTTTCTAGCCTTGTGTTAGGAAAAATCTCCAACTTCCAGAATTACCACCACCAACAAAACAAAGCAAAACAAAGCAAAAACAAAAACAAAACAAAACTCCCACCTTTGTAATAAAGGTTCTGTGACTTTCTTAGGAAATGTAATCCAGACCTTAATGATGAAAATGCTTTCTTCATGCCCAATATAAAGCCACTGCTGCTACAATTTTTGTATCTTTAGGGATCTTCACCTGAAACACAGCAGGCCATTTCCTCTTCTTTTTAATTAACTCTTACACATTTCCAGATTTCTCTCAGCTCCATATAGGCCAGAGAGTGGTACCCAAGCTTTGCTGTCTATGACCTTTGAGAACATTGTAGAATATCTTCTTTCTTTCTTTCTTTCTTTTTTCTTTTTTCTTTTCTTTTTTTTTTTTTTCTTAAGAATGACTTCCCTGAAGGCTGGTAAAAATGTTCATAGTCACCAGTTCTACTAAATGCTCAAAAAAGACCCCTGTCTCCATAATCTTTCTTGAGCAGGGATTTACCAGTAGAGGTCCTGGAAACAATTTTAAAATATTTTAAATATTTTTCTCTTATCATTGATCAGAGATTTTCTGTATTTTGAACCTCATCTACAGACAGAGTAAAGTAGCATACTTTTTTTGACTGAATAAATAAGCTTACTTTTTTGCTTACTTTTTATTTCTACCTGTATCTTTCCATCCATTGTCAGGCCTATTTCTAAGGAAAGAGTAGTAAGCCTAAGTGATGTGAAGACCATGGCCACCTCCTCCAATCACTCTGGCACCAGACTACTCCTTTTTCTTGGCCAATGGAGCCCATCTCTGTGCCCGTGGACCTGATGTCTCTGCCCTTTTGAAAGCTTATCCAGTAGCAATGCTGAGTACATGTCGCGGTGACATGACACATACAGACATGCAAAGGACCATGACATACTCAGTCAGCTTGCCATAGTCAAAACACTGACTTGAACACAGAGGATTCATATAAGAGCGTGAACACAGAAAACTAACTCTCAACTTGGGCTGGCAGAGGCAGGAAATCAGTTGTGCAGGCACATACACAGCACTCCCTAGGTTCACAAGCACACAGACATTCACAGATGCTCTACATGCTGGCCCAAACCCTCTGTCTGTCCAGTATGCCTGCCCAGATCCTGGGTTCCCTTGTCTACTTCTCAGATCTCCAACTTATAAATTTGTTCAGCCTGATGAATACTGCGAAAATGCATTTATCACACGCAGACACTCATCCCATGTGCACCCCATGCTATAAATCCTCCTGAATATAACAGCATGAACTCCCACCCCTCCTGATGCCCCAGACTGGACTTGCAGCACCATCATTTGCTGTCTGGTTCAGCTTGGTGTTTGCTGGCTTATACACACATACATAAGCTTTGGGGAAGATATGGACAGCCCCTACATGGGCTGATGCCAAGCACATGGGCTGTGATGCATGGCCTGGCTTCAGCCACCAGTATGGAGCCCCACACTTGCTTCATTCAAGTCAGCATCCCACCAGTAGATGGTTTGGGATTGCACAACACGCTTGCCTCAGTGGCCAGGAGTAGAAGACCCTCCACACACCAGAAGCTGCACTAAGACCCTATTGGTTCCAGTAGTTGACATTATGGGTTGGGGCATCCACATTCCCAGCCCTACTCCAGTAAGTGGCATTAAATTCCACCCATACTGAGAGGACCTCAGTGGTTGGCACTTGATCATTTAAAGTCACATCCACACACATGTACATTTCCTCAGTCACACTGGTTTTTGCCAGCAGCTGGTCTGGGGAACACACAATTGTGTTTCAGTGGTAGGTAAAACCAGGATTTGGTATCACAATCAGGGGCCCATACCCCTAGTCTGACTCCAGTGGCTGGCACTTAGGGCTCAAAGTTTGCAGGACCTGACAGTCAGAACATCTCTCAGTTCAGCAGCTGACTGCACAGCTAGGGGTGCCTCATCCCCTGGCCTGACTCCCAAGAGCCAGCACCAGTTTTCACACATACACACATCAGACATCCCTAGCAGCTGGCACAGTCTCTGATGTCCACATACACATAAGGCAGAGAGCACAAGTACACAGATATTTAAGAAAAAGAAAAGTGAGAAAATGAAGATAGGACAGACTGCTATGATCAGGCAATGGGCTTTGCCAGCGAAAGCACTGACTGCCCCCATTTCATACAGGACCAGCACCTTCAGCCCATTTATACTTTTTCACTAGCCCCACCCCCACCCCTCTACTTCTCCACGTTCGTTACTCCTTCCTGCTTGTCCTCCCTTCCTTTCTCCTCCCTTCTACCTGCTTTCCAGTTTGGTTTGCATCACTACTTCCTGTATCATTTGTCTGTCGGGTTTGTGTCCCTATATGTTTTTGTCTATGGCTTCCTTCCTTTCTTGTCCTTCATTGCACAAGAAAAAGGTAGTAGTACAGATACACTTAAAGGAGCAGAAGTTCTCTTTCCATACACGCTTACAAGCTTAATTTAACTATTTAGACAGTTTCACCAATTACTAGCTCATTTTTCTTGTGTCAGTGGTCATAAGCATTCACTGTTATTCCCTATGTACCTTTGTACATTTTTACTGGATACTCTTTACTTCAGCTAGACCCTTATTTTAAACATTTCATGAGATATTAAAAAATTGAAGAACATCTGTCTTGGCTGTTAAATTTACATATAATCTATTGTAAATATGAACCAAATCTAGTTACTAGTCTAGATCCTTGACTAATTACTAATTACTAAGTTACTAATCTAGTTCCTTGACTAGACTAATCTAGTCAAGGAAAAGGTTTAAAGATTCCTACACTTTAATCTGTAATGAAAATGCAGTTTTTTATACCAACATCCTCTTAATTCTAGCACACAAAAACAAACTGAAAGTTTGTCAACTAATCTAGTCAACTAATGGGATGTGCAGCAAAAAATAGCTACATAACTAAAGCTATACTAAAGCTATACTGAAAACACATTTTAAGGAAACAGCTATAGTAATTGACCATTTTAAAAAGTCAGGGTTTAATTTCCTTCAGTCTTTAGCTCAGACCAAATAGTCTTATAATGACTGTTCTAACTGATGTAGAATATGTTGCACTAAAAAAATAATTATTGTGAAATTTTATCCTTATATGAGAACTTCAAGGAGGTAGTTCTGGTAAACAGTAGGTTCACATCCAGTATTTCAGGAAAGATGCTTTTGTAATGACTACTGAAGCCAGGTCACTGCCAACTTCTACTTGTTATGTCCTAGACTGAGAGCCTCTGTGGACAAGCAATTGCTTTTATCTTTTTTTTTTTTTTTCCCCAAGAATTCACGAAGCAGAGCTACTTTGGGAATATCCATCAATTGGGTCTTGTGGGGGGACTGTCTGGTGTGTTAGACAGTGAGTTGCTTGATACTTCCAGGATGTTTATATATATAGCTGGAAACAAAAAATACAGAAATTAATGGAGAAGTTCACTGATTGAAAATAAAATGCTGAGGGAAAAGTGATCTCATTATGCTTGGGTAGTAACTTTGTAGGAATTTTGAAAATTAAATTATTAAATAGAATCCACTTTGACAACTGAGTCTTTCACTGCTTTTTAATAGGCATTAGGCACTTGCTCATTTACTCAATTCATTTACTCAAATAATGCTGATAAATCTGTCTGCTTTCGAGGCACCAATACAACCAATACTTGTACTTTTGAAAATCTTTCCACTGAAAGATAGAGCTACGGGAAACATGACCTGCACAATGCAACTGAGTGAGACTTCACTGTCGTGGCTGATGCCTGCTCAGGGCTAAATTACTAAAAGTAGATTTTGAAATACTAAAAGTAGAGAGTGAGGACCAGTAACTTTTTTGCTTTTTAATGTTGCTTTTTCTGCTTTTATCACAACACATAAATACAGCCAGATAACAATGTCCAGTATGCTCATATGTATGTTCAGTGTCTTATAGAGTTCAGATATGTTGAAAAATGTTCTTCAGAAGCTCAAGAGACAACTGCTATAGAGAGTGAGGAACGGCTGCAGCTTGCATTTTCTAATATTCTCATGATATTGTATTTTTTAGGTCTTCTGGGCATGGTTGCTCACATGATGTACACAACTGTATTTCAAATGACTGTAAATCTTGGTCCTGAAGACTGGAGACCTCACACATGGGATTATGGCTGGTCCTATTGGTACCTATTTGCTTATGTTTGGTTCTTCCCTTACATTTCAGTCACTTCACCCTATATTCAAAGAATTTATACCTACTTTATAATGGATGGGTCTAACCTACTTCCCTCCTGATTTAGATGTTTTTTCTCCAAATTCAGTACTTAGATTATTGCAAAGGATGTATAAACTTGTCAGTTTTGCATTTACCATCCTTTAGACAGTTCTGCATGAAGAAGAGGTTCTTTTCCACATGCATCAGATTACCCAATTTTTTCAGAGTTAGATTTGTTACCTTTGTTTTCCAGGAAGACTGTCTTGCATAAATTACTTAAAACTCTCCTGGCCTCAAACACTTAGGTTACATATTTCCTTACTTCAATTCGTGGCGTGTGGAACATTTCAGACAAAATGTAAATTTTTGAGAAAAGGTTTGCATATATAAGCCTATAAGCAATTGCAACATTTCTTCTGAGGAAATACTGTTAATTTATTAAGAAAGAGGGGTATGCAAGGGATTTTTGCAATATGCATGCCTTTGTTGTGCTACTGAAAATCCATTCAAATTTGTTCAGTAGTCAGCATTTGAATTCAAGTGCACCTCAGCAAGTTTGTGATGACACCAAGCTGAGCAGTGCAGTCAAAACACTGGAGGGAAGGGAAGCCATCCAGAGGGACCTGGACAGGCTGGAGAAGTGGGCCCATGGGAACCCAATGGGGTTCAGTAAGGCCAGGTGCAGGGTGCTGCCATTGGGTGGGGGCAATGCCAGGTATTGATACAGACTGGGGGAAGATGTGCTTGAGAGCAGCCCTGCGCAGAAGGACTTGGGGTTCTGGTGGGCGAGAAGCTGGCCATGAGACAGCAGTGAGCGCCTGCAGCCCGGAAGGCCAGCTGTGTTGTGGGCTG